AAATCCCTCTTACATATAAACAACATATTTACAACTTCCAGGGATCAGGACAGTGACACCTTTCAGTCCTGCTATTCGATTGGCTACACGTGTCCTAGTTTCCTAGCACAGATGATCCTCTTGGGCCCGGGAGCACCATGCCCCTGACTGTCCTTGTATGTGTGCACCCACAGCTGTGTGTGCCTCTAACAATGGATTGTGGAGTTTCACCGATTTTGAGCTTTGTGCCAATTGATTCATACCATGTTATCAATTTGTTTGCTTAATGTCCTTTTGAGAGTCACCACATGTACACATACAGCCCTAGTTTGTTCATTTTCATTCCTTGAGGTATGATAGGAGTGTGGGTGCCACGCTGTGTCCACTGCCCTCTGGGCGGTGTTCTGTGTCAGTGCAGAGGGCTCTGCATCACTAAAAGGGTATGGGTGCCATGCTGTGACCACTGCCTTGTGAACATTGCTCTGCATTACTGCAGGGGTGTGGGTGCCACACTGTGTCCACTGCCCTGTGGACAGGGCTCTGTGGCACTGCAGGGGTCCATTGCTGCACGGACAGGCACTTGGGTGTCTCTAGAGAGTGCTTCTTTGCTGCCACACAGATGGCTCAACTCCTTGGTCTTGTGTGGTATTTTTCATTCTTTAAAAAGCCCTTTAATAATCTCTCCAAGTGCTTCTGACAAATGAACCACAACCCTTCGCTCAGGGATACTTCTGTGAAGTATCTTCTATGGTTTATATTGTTAAAACATTAGAGCCGGGAACCGGTGACTCACACCTGTAATCCTAGCCACTCAGGAAGCAAAGATCAGGAGTATCGTGGTTCAAAGTCATTCCAGGCAAATAGTTCACAAGACCTTATTTAAAAAAAAACCATTACAAAAAAGGGCTGGTGGAGTGGCTCAAGTTGTAGGCCCTGAGTTCAAGCCCCAGTAGGAAAAAATTAGATAATATATTTCATTTTATAAACTTTATTAAGTTGTACGTTAGTATGAAATCTATGTATGTTCTCTCTCCCCCATCCGTGGCTAAAATGAAGTCTGAACTCTGGAGGTGAAAATGTGTCTTCTGCCTCTTTAGAAAAGGGTGGGCAAGAGCTGAGCTGGTGGCTTACACCTGTAATTCTACCTATTTGGAAGGCTGAGATTGGGAGAATCAAGGTTTGAGGATTGCAGTTTCAGGTCAACCTGGACAAAAAAAGTTTGTGAGGCCCATATCTCAACAGAAAAAGTTGGGCTTGGTGGTGCCCACCTGTCACGCCAGCTACAACAGGAATCACAAAATAGACTGTCCAGGCTGGTCTGGGCGAAAAGCAAGAACCCATCTCCAAAATAACAAGGGTAAAAAGGGTTCCGGGGGTAGCTCAAGTGGTAGAGCACAAAACCCTGAGTTCAAACCCCAGTTCCATCAAAATAATAAAATAATAATAATAAATAAAAGAGAAGGGTGGGTGAAACTTGTTCCACACTTATTTTGGGCCACCTTTTCTGTCTTCTACCTGGAGACTTATGGGCTGTCAACAGGGATGCTGGCCTCTGAAGGCTGCTGAATAAAGTACGGGTTGAGCGCTGGATTCTGAAAATGTGAACATCTGAAACTTTCTTCACACTGACATAACTCCATAGGTGGAAAATTCCTCACTGGCCTCCTGTGACAGGCCGCAGTCAAATGGCAGGTACACTAAAAATGTTGCATATTACTATTTTCAGGCTATGTGTATACAGTCTAAATAAAACACAGAATTTGTAAGCTAGATTTGCGTCTCATCCTAAAGATATCTCATTACAAATGTTCCAAAATCCAAAGACACCAGACATCAAAAACAATTCCAGTTCTACACTCTGAGATCTCCAATTATATCTGTAAAGATTTTTTTTTCCTAAGTAAGATCACATTCACAGATACTGGCAAGATGTACCTTTTGGGGCCCACCCTTCCATCCACTACAGTGGGTCACGCAGCTTTGAGCCTCCTGGTCGGGACGTGTGGACGTGTCACTAACCCTCAGCCACAGGACCTGCCACTAGCAGGAGGCCTCAAAGGGAGGGGACGGGAGTGAGAAAACCGGGGAGGCTGGGACCCGCAGGACCTGCCACGAGCCAGGGGGGGAAAGGCAGAGCAGGAGAGGGACAAGGGGACTGCGGGGGAGGGAGAGAGAGCTGAGGTCAGGCTCTCCTCTTTGGCCATTTACTGTTTGAACCCAGCCAGGGCCAAACCTCTGCGGCCGCCCCACTGTTCCCTGTGGACCTGTGTCCTGCGGGCCGTGGGGGGCTGCGTGTCTCCGGGGAAACGCGAGTCCTGGAGTGGAACGGGTGGGGAGGGGACGAGGACTCGGTCCTGTCCGGCCCCGGACCCCCTGCCCACGTCACCTGTCCTCTACCCTCCAGCCGCGGGCGCCCCCTGCAGGTCACGCCCCACCCCCGCCTCGCTTGAGTCGGATGCACTCGGCGGTCCGCGGAGTCCCTAGCTGCGCGCGCGTGCACGCACGCACTCCCCGCACGCGCACGCACTCCCCCGCACACGCACGCACTCCCGCGCACGCGCTCCCCGCACACGCGCACGCACTCCCCCGCACACGCCCGCACTCCCGCGCACGCGCTCCCCCCGCACGCACTCCCCGCACGCGCACGCACTCCCCGCACGCACGCGCACTCCCGCGCACGCGCTCCCCGCACGCGCTCCCGCGCACGCGCACGCACGGCGCTCGGCGCACGCCCCTCGCCCCTCGCTTCCGGCCGCGGCGGCCTCCGTGCCGCCGGACTGGATAGACTGCCGGGTCCGAGAGGCATGCGGCGCTGAGGAGCGGCGGACCCCGCGACGGCGCCATGAACCTTCTGCCGTGTAACCCGCACGGCAACGGGTTGCTGTACGCCGGCTTCAACCAGGACCACGGTGAGGCGCGGCCCGGCCTCCCGGGAGACTCTGGCGCGACATGTCCTCTTGGCCCCGCTGCGGACCCTGTCCTCCCCCTGGACCGCGGCCTTGATCCGGAGACCCCCGTCGCCAGAGACCCTGTCCGCGTCCCTGTCCTGAGCCCGTAAGCCGGGCCCGGCCCCCCGCGGGACCCTCCCCGAGCCCGCCTCGGTTTCCGGGCCCCGCCCTCCCTGGCGGCCCCGGCGAGCCTCGGCCTCGGCCTCGGCCTCCAGTGCAGCCCCTGTCCTCCCCCTGGCCCAGCCGATCCCGGCCGCGCCGCCTGCTGTCGCGCGGATCCGTGGGCCCGAGCGCCACCGCCGCAGGCTCGACCTCCCCGCCCGCCCCCGCCCCGGCCCCGGCCCCGGCCCCGGCCCCGCCGCACCCTTCTCCAGCCAGGCCACGTCGCCCTGCGCCCGGCCGTTTGGTGGGGGGCAGGGGCTCGTAAGCTGCCTTTGCACGGCTGGGGTCCGGCCGTGGTCTCTGGGAACCTTGGCGTTGCTCCGGAGGTGGGAGACCTCTGCCTCGAATTCTGCAATTTCGTCGCTGGGAGGAAAAGGAATAAAGGCCGCTGGTTTTTACATCTCGGATTGGGACGGGTTTTGATAGAGTCTCGTTGTGTAGCCCAGGCTGGCCTTGAACTAGCACATCCTCCTCCCGCAGTCTCCCCAAGTGCTGGGGTTGCACGTGTGCTCCACACACCGCGGCCCGACGTTTTGTTTCTGAAAAGAATCAAGCTTTTGAAGGGCATCTAAATGCTTTCTGATCTCTTATCTGTGAAGATTATTTTTTTGTTGATAGTAAGTTTTTGTTGTTACTCTACTGCTGGAGCCCCAGCCCTTTGTTCCTGAGACGATGTCTGGCTATCCCACCCAGGCTTGCCTTTAACTCCTTGGGCACAAACAACCCACTTGCCAGTCTCTGGAGTAGCTGGAACTCCAGGCCCAGTGCCACCACACCTGGCTATGAAGATAGTTTAAAATGATTATTTTATTTTAATATGTGGGAGATCAAAAGATTAATAATTTGCTGGGTGACGGTGGCTCACACCTGTAATCCTAGCTACACAGGAGGCAGAGATCAGGAGGATCGCTGTTTGAGGCCAGCCTGGCCAAGTAGTTCTCGAGACCCCATCTAGAAAAACCCTTCACAAAACAGAGCTGGTGGAATGACTCGAGATGAAGGCCCTGAGTTCAAGCCCGGGTACCACCAAAAGAAAAAAAAAGTAATTTAAAAAGAAAATGCAGTGATCACCTTTCATTTGGCATATATTTGGGCATACTGTGTTGGCACTCCTGGGGGCTGGAGGACACTGATAATCAGAACATGTAGGAGAACAAAAATATATCTAGGAAAAACCAAGGTAAGAAGTAGAAATTGGGGTTGGTAGAGTGGCTGCTAGCAAGTGTGAGGCTCTGAATTCAAACCCCAGTCCCACCCAAAAAAAAAAAAAAAAGAAGAAGTAGAAAATGTGCATGTCATATAGCACGTACACAAAGTTTTGTTAGATTGGAGAACAGGATTACGTCTGGCCTTGAAAGCCACAGAAAGTTCTTGGTGGAGGGGCAGTTAAATGCAGTGGCCTTGGGAGGCCTGGGCTGTGTGGTCTCGTGATGCAGTGCTTTGGTCTAGCCCCACTGGAGCACTGTTACAGTTAGGAACATGTGTGGGGCCAGAAGAACATTAGGCAGTATCTAAAAACAGAAGAGGATCAGTGGGTTAGTAGGTTTTTGATAATAGAACCTTTTATGTAATTCCTTAAGAAATAGGCTTTTATATCAAAGCTCTGGTTGTAATGTAACCTCATTAGGTAGTTGAGGATCACGTTTTATACTTACTTTTTCTTTTGCTCTTGATGCTTTTAACATTTATTGCAAAATCAGGCTTACAAGTAACTTTTTTTTTTGTGGAACTGGGATTTGAACTCAGTTTTGCACTTGGAAAGTAGGCACTGGCAAAGCAGGTACTCTACTGCTTAAGCCATCCATCCATGTCTGTTTTGCTCTGGTTATTTTGGAGATAGTCTCATGAAGTGTTCATCTGGGCTGGCTTGGAACCACGATCCTCTCTATCTCAGCCTCCCACGTAGCTAGGATTACAGGTGTGAGTCACTAGCGCCCAGCTTAAGAAATAACTTTTAAAATAACATTTGCCCATAATTTTAAATTGTTCAAAGTTTTGTCTTCTCTCAAAGATAATTTTGCACTACAGTCTTTTAAGACTCACAATATTGATACATGCATTTCTATATGGTGCCCACGTGTTTTCTTTCCATTCACATGAGAAGCAGAAGTGTTTGAAATATATACATCTCAGTTTACTAGCTTGAGCTCTAGGAGCAAGATCCAAAGCTGTAGACTGAGTTCCTGGGGTCACTTCTGTAGTTCTCAGGTGTGTGGTGGAGAGTGTGTGCATGTGGACTGCATAGAGCTGAAACAGGCCCTCTTGGTACCCCGATGCCCTTGGACAGTAGACTTCCCCTGGGCTATGCACCATCACCTCACCTTTGGGCCATGGGTTTGGGAAAAAAGGATAGTGAGGGTGATGCTTAGTGTCTTTCTCTCTTCTCTCTCTGGCAGTACTGGGATGATGCTTAGTTTCTTTAGAGTAATTTCCAATCTTTCAAGTTTTGTAGTACCTTCTAGGTCTTTATTGAAGTATATTATACATACAGAAAGTACACGTGTTAATGTGTTCCATTTGATGCATTTTCCAAACTGAACACACCTACTGCCAACACCCAGGTTAACAAATCTTGGGTACCCTGCCAACCCCGTATTCCTTACAGTAACTGTCCCCAGTATGACTTCTAAACATAGGTTAGTTTTGCCTGCTCTATTCTTACTTTTTATCAGTGCCATATGTATTTGATACTATAACTACTAATGTTCTTTTGTGGGACTATATCACAACTCATTTATTTATCAGTTTTACCGTTGATGGACATTTGCATGTTTTTGGCTCCCATGAGTATAGTAGTGCTACTGTGATTATTCTAGAATGTCTTTTGGTGAGGAGGTGTTCACATTTCTACAAAGGGGTGTCCTTGTATAGTCCTGGAATAGGATTGAAAGCTGTCAGGCAGTACAGTTTCCAAAGTGCTTACACCAGTTTGCCTGCCCTCTGCCAGCAGCTCTCAATTCCTGCAGCTCTGCATCCTGCTCGAACTTGGCGCTTTCCATCATGTTGGCTGGTGTGTAGTAGGTTCTACTTGTGCTGTTTTCTTGATTCTGTATGCTACTGACCACCGATCCTCCATTAGGCATTTACTTTCTTGTGTGAAGCTTCCTCTTCCATGACCCAGTATGATACCTGACACACATCACTCAAACAGTGTGTTCAGGAGGGGAGGCCAGCAAGTGTTAGCCAGAGGTGGGTGTTCGTTGAGGGAGCTGTAATGGACAGCTGTCAGGGAGTGTTTAAGTAGAGGCCTGGTCTGCATTGGAGAAGCTGCAGGCTAAGCGAACTGACCACGTCTCATGAGACATACGCCTTGCTGGATGACACTTCTGGAGGAAAGCAGCTGTGGCTTGGTGTGCATTGGGTCTGCAAAGGACTCTCCATACATGCCAGTTTCCCAGACCCTGCTGTCGCCCATGCAGACCTGTGGATTAATGTGTCTCTTCACACTTCCTGTTGTAGGGTGCTTTGCCTGTGGGATGGAGAATGGATTTCGAGTCTACAACACCGACCCACTCAAGGAAAAAGAGAAACAAGGTAAGGAAGTGGTGGATATTTCCTTTGTCTCCTTTCCAGCCCCCAGAGTCTAGAGAGATGCCCATGACGTGGTCAGAGCAGAATGGCTGTTTCTGAGAAGCAAATAGGGTTTGTGCCTTTTGTAAACTGGGGCAGAGCTGTTGTCTTTCTTTCTGTGAGTTCCATGTGCTGGAGGACAGGCATGGCCTCACCATTTCCTCTAGTGAATTGTCAACCAACATGAACCACTCCAGTCTTTCCCTACATCTTCAGTCCTTGCCAGCTCTGTTTGGAAGAACAAGGTGTATTTAATACAGGCCACTTTCACTTTTCTCTTGTTTGATGTAAACTAGAGAAATCACACGAAGGGTATACTTCCAGCATATGTTGTAGCTGGGCACAGTGGTGCGTGCCTGTAATCCCAGCATTTAGGAGGCTAAGGCAAGAGGATTGGGAGTTTGAGGCCAACATGGGCCACATAGCAAGACCCTGTCTTGTAGTTGCATCTGTTTACTTACTTCAGTGTCTTTTTTTTTTTTTTTTTCCGGGATTTGAACTCAGGGTTTCATGCTTGCTAGACAGGCACTCTACCACTTAAGCCATTCCACCAGCCCACTTCAGTGTCTTAATCTTTGTTTCATGATACAAGTTTTCAAAGCTGGAGTCAGGAATTAGACTGGTAAATAAACAACTGTGGTGCTTTTTTCTATTTATTAGGAAAAGTCAATATCTGTGAGTAGAACTTCAGTTTGGTTTCTCTTCCTACATGGCGTTCTTGAACATTTGATGGTTCCTGGTTAGTACCAGCTGTGACAATCGAGTCATGCACAGTGAATGAGCAAATCTCAGATAAACCGCAGAAGATAATTAGCACCTTCTCCTGAAGCTGTGGTTCTGAAGTTTTGATTCCAGAACTGCTTCCTCTGTAAGAGGTGGTCACTGGGGAACATCACGGCATCTGGTCCTTTCATTTTAGCACCTACTGTCAGTTTTCTTGGCAGTTAAAACCCATTTTTTGTTATTGTTGTGCTTGGGTTTGAACTCATGGTTGCACACTTGCTAGGCAGGCACTCTACCACTTGAGCCATATCCCAGCCCTTTTTTTGCATTAGTTATTTTTCAAATAGGGTCTCACTGTTAGGCCTAACCCAGCCTGGACCACAATCCTCTTATTTACGCTTCCCATGTAGCTGGGATAACAGGTGCACACCATTGTGCCTAGCTTTTTGTTGGCTGAAGATGGGGTCTAATAGACTTTTTTGCCCTGGCTGGCCTCAAACTGTGATCCTCCTAATCTCCACCCAAGTAACTAGGATTACAGGTGTGAGCCACCTATCTGAAATCCTTTTTTAAGTAAAATCTTATGTACGATCCTGGAATGTTAAACAATTAACTAGTATTTTATTGTTTAATCCAGTGTTGGTGACCTTAATTTGTTATTTAAAAAAATGGCATAGCTCAGTAGCTAAGAACCCAGACTGGATCTGTATTGCATAGGGTTTGAGTCCTAGCTCTGCTGCTGATCTGGTTGCTATGTGATCTTGGGTAACTTCCTCAACTTCTCTAGGTCTCAGTTTTTATATAAAATGAAGATGGTTACAATGCTTCCCATACGAGGTTATTGTAAAAATGAAAGAGTAAGACACATCAGTGCTTGCCAAGTGCTGGGAAGTGTCACAGCACTGTCACAGCAGTCCCTATCCATAGACAACACCCAACAGATACCTGGAAACTACAGAGAGTACTGAATCCTTAATGGACTGTTTTTTCCTGTGGTAAAGTTTAATTTATGAATTAGGCGTAGAAAGGGATTGACAACAGTAACCTACCATAAATCTTAGCAGCCTTAGCACACAAATTTTTTTTCTTAAGTTTCAAACTTTCAGTTTTTTAGTTAAAGGGAGCACTTTACAGCTTCTCTTTGCCATGTCACATTGCCATCATCACTGCTTTAACCATCATTAAGTAAAGTGAGGGCTACTGAACATAGCACTCTGGTACCTGAGGTAGCAGGAAGGTAGGTTATACACTGTGGACAACTAGAGAAAGGGTGATTCATGGCCTGCATGAACTGAGGCTACGTGAGATTCCATCACACTACTCCAAAGAGCATGCAGGTTAAAACTTAGGAGTTGTGTAGTTCTGGAATTTTCTTTTTTTTTTTTTTTTTTTTTTTTTTTTTTTTGGTGTCATTGGGGTTTGAACACAGCCTCACACTTGCTAGGCAGGCAGGCACTCTTACCGCTTGAGTCACTCCACTAGCCCTTATTTTGTGGTTGGATTTTTTGAGGTAGGGTCTCGCAAACTATTTGCCCAGGCTGGCTTCAAACTGCAATGCTCCTGATCTCTGCCTCCTGAGTAGCTGGAATTATGGGGATGAGTCACCGGCACCTGGCTGCATTTTTCTATTTAATGTTTTCAGTCTGTTGTTGACTGGGGTGAGCCATGTGTCAAAAACATCTGGGTTGTAGGGAATGCTGTGGAGAGTAAGTCAGTGGAATCAAAGCTGGCAGTGACAGTGGTCATCTATCTGGCGTCTGTGCATTTCATTTATTTTGTTTTGGTTGCATAGTGTGTTAACAGTTTTGCTTTATATGGATGTGTAGTTATGAAACATTTTAAAACAGCTTGACTTGCAAATCTTAAGATACTTTACTAAATTGACCAAGAAACTAAAAGATGAGTTGCATACACTGGGGTCAAAGTTGAATCATTAGCTGCAACTAACAACTAACAACAGTATTTTAATAAATTCAGAATTTCTTCTTTGTTTTGTCCCTTGGTGGTACTAGGGTTTGAACCCAGGGCCTTATGCTTGCTAGGCAAGCACTCTACTGCTTCAGACACAGTCTAGCCCTTTTTGCTTTAGCTATTTTTCCAGTAGTGTCTTGCATGGGGTTTTGTTTTGTTTTGTTTCTGCCCAGGCTGGCCTGCCTGGACTGTAATCTTCCTACTCAAGTTTCACATGAAGCTGAGATGACAAGCACGTGCCACCATGATAAACTTTTTCATTAACATGTGGAAGAGGGGTCCTCACTGTCCTTTTGCTTGGGCCATTCCCTTGAGGTCTCCGAGTCCCCTTTGCTTCTCCATATGGCTGCCAAAATCACAATGTGTGCACTGGTCACATGGAGGAGAAAGTGGATGACACCCGAGACAGCAGAGTGTCTTTGGCTACCTTACTTTTTTCATGGAAGTGCTCAGTCTTCCACCTCAAAACTTCACCTCCGAGTCACAGCCCAGAGGCTTAGCAGCCACCAGCAGTCCTGGCTTTTATCGCCAGCTTGAAAAAACTTAGCTCCTGACAAGTGGAACACTGTTGAGGTTACTAGTAAGGTCAGGCTCACAGGGGTTGCTCGTAAAATGTTAAATGGTCTATCTGGAGAACCGGCCAGTAACCTGGTGACATAATTCTCAGATGCTTTTCTAGCTTTGTTTCTAAACTGACTGAGCCTGCATTGAGGATGAAGGTAGACTCTTGATGCTCTAGGGCTGAGAAGTTCTTGAGCAATAGCATTTTTATTTTTTGGATTGTGAGAAGTGTGGCATCTCAGCCTTTTTAAGTGTATGGACCAGTGTTACATTCACCTTGTAAAACAGACATTGTTAGCATTGTTAAACAGATCTCTAGAACTTTTTCATCTTGTAAAGGAAAATTCATGAACAGTTTCTTTTCCGTCTCCCAGCCCTGGCAACCACCACTCTTCTGTCTGTCTCTGAATCTTACTGCTTTGAGACGTCATATGTTTGTGGGCAGTCATGCAGCAGTTGTCGTTTTGTGACTGGCTTATTTCATTTAGCGTAGACTCCTCGGGTTTATCTGTGTTGTAACATGAAGAGTGATGCTCTGTTGTTGCACTCTTAGTCACCCCTCAGCAGACACTTGAAGTGCTTGGCTTTTGTGAATAATGCTGATACGAACACAGGTGGGCACGTTTCTCTTTGTGACCCTGCTTGCAGTTCTTTTGGATATATACTCAAGCGGGATTGCTGGATCTCATGGAAGTTGTGTTTTTAGTTTCTTGAGGACCTTTGTACTATTTTCTATAGCAGCTGTGCCATACAGTGCATGCTGTCTAGTGTCTCCACGTCCTTGCCAACTTGTTGCTTCCTGTTCCTGACAGTTGTCGCCATGGTGATGGGTGTAAAGTGCATCTCATTACCGTTTTGAGCTATAGTCCTTTGATTACTAGTGATTAAACATCTTTTCATGTGCTTTGGCCATTTGTAAATCGTTTTTTGAGAAATGTCCATTCAAGTCCTTTTTCAGCTTTCTAATAATTAAATTATTTGGTGTTTTTGTTACTGAGTTGTAAGAGTTCATGTATTCTGGATATTGCCGTCCCTACTAGACACGTGATTTTTGAGTGCTGTGCCGCATTCCACAGGTGGTCTTTCCTCTCAGTGGACTGTGTCTTCCTGCACAAGAGTTTGTAATTTGATATTGCCCCTTTGTCTACTTTTGCTTCTGGTGTCACAGCCAAGAAAACATTGCCAGATCTGATGTCACGGAGCTTTCCTTTAGGAGTTCTATAGTTTTGAGTCTTACTCCTAGGTCTGTAATGCATTTTGACATATTTTTTGAGACAGGATCTTATTATGTAGCCCAGACTGATCTGGAACTCTCTGTGTAGCCGAGGCTGCCCTCGAACTTGGTATCCTTCATCCCTTCACCTCCTTAATGCTGGGATTGCAGGTGTGCACCACCACTCACGGTTTCTCAGTTCATAGATTTTGCTACATCTTAAAATACGGATTTGGATATTTCACATATTTTACTAAGCTGGCTTATCAGGGTGTGTATGCTTAGCTCTTAGGAAGTATGGTTCATGGTGACAGAATGTGGAGAGAAGTCACAAGTCCACCACTCCTTTTCTTAGCCAGTCACCATTACCATTTCTGAAGTTAGTCAGATACAAATTGCTGATTAAAAATGTCATGCTATGGCTGGAGGTGTGTTTCAAGTGGTAGAGCGCCTGCCTAGCAAGTGCAAGGCCCTGAGTCCAAACCCCAGTACCACAAAAAAAAAAAATGATGCTGAATGTTACCTGTCTTCATTCTTTTATTGTTGTTGTAAAATACACATATTAACTTACTAAAGTTGTCTTTTTTTAAACTATCATTTCAGAATTTTTAGAAGGAGGAGTTGGCCACGTGGAGATGTTATTTCGATGCAACTATTTAGCTTTAGTTGGTGGTGGAAAAAAGCCAAAATACCCTCCCAACAAAGGTAAAGTAGTGTCGTTCACAGCTATGGAGTGTCCTGTGTCTGCAGCCACACGAGGGCCTCTGGTAGTCCTGTGAGGGTTGAAGGATGAGAACGAGGGCGAGTTCTCCCAAGTGTCTGATGGGTGTGGAGAGTTGACTAGCTGCCCTTGGCAAATGGGGACATGCCACACCTGTAGGTTGGGGTCATGAATGTCACAAATTCAGGATAATACAAGGGGGAGTGAGTGAGGCTTATCACCTACTGAGAGTCATTGACTCACAGAAACATTAATGTGGTAGCCACCTAGAACAGGAAGCCAGTTGGGCTGCGGTTGTGGGGTCCTGTTTTGGTGTGTGTGTATCTGTGTGTGAGTTGAAGAAGACTGAAGTTGAGTGGTATGGTCCTCTCAAAGCAAAGTGAGAAATCAGAGCTTTACCAACCACCCAGTACCATTCCTGTAAACTAGCTTAACCTGGCACTTGGTTGAGGAAGGGAAGTACCCAGGAAGGAGGTAGAGCACAGGGAAAAGGTATAAGATTGCTTGGGAAGGGAGTGGACAGACTGACTCTCCAATGCCAGGTGAGGGTGTGCCTGGGAGAGAAAGGCCATTTGGTTTGTGTTAGGAAAGGTGCAGTCCAGAAGCAGTTGCAAATGGGGCAAATGGGGTGAGGCGATGCTAAACATGGGAGGGGGATTGTTGCTCACAGGAGGAGTTGGGAGCAGAGAAGCAGTGCACACATTAGAGCACAGTTAAGCCAAACGCCAGCAAGGTAAAAGCATGAGGCTGAGGAAAGGCCACTGAGTGACCACTGGTAGCTGGGAGGACTGTTGTGGGGAGTTGGTAGTGGTAGGTTCCAGAGTGGTGGTGAGAGAGGGCACGGGAAAGGAAAGAAGGGTGGTGAGGGAGGCAAGAGAGTATAGACGAGGATGGAGAGTGAGCTAGGGTCCAGTCGACTGTGCCATTGTTAATAACCCAGGCCTGATGCAGAAGCCAAGGAAAGGGCCATGAACTGAGAGCATTACTCATGGGTACAGGGTTCTCAAGGCATCAGTTCCAGGCCAACACTGACAAAACAAAGAAAAGAGAGGAGCCCTGTGCAGAGGCAGAGGGCCCTAGGTGACTCCTTGTGGGCTCAAGGATCCCAGGCTCGCCGTGAGGTTGCCCCCCAAAACATTGGCTTTTGTTTTAGAATTAGTAGCAGAGAAATGAAAAAATAAGAGAGTGCTGTCAGGAAACTGCAAATACGCATTTGAGATCTTGACCTGTGGGGATTTCTGCAGGTTCCCAGGTCCAAGCTTGTCTGTGCCAGCCTAAAGCGGAGTGGCTGGGAGCACAAGATCTTCCATAAGAGGGCCACCAACAGTGACACTGGGGCAGGCAGAAATCCTACTGCTGATTAATTAGTATTTGTCTCGTCGTGAAGAATTTGACCACTGGTGTTAGGAAAGGGAGATTGTAGGTGGGAAGTCAGCAGGCCTAGAGGCCATCCCCTGCCTGCCATGATGTGGGGCAGAGTGCCACGTGACCTCACCTGCAAAATCTTGCTACAAAACTAAGTTGTCAAGGGGCCAGACATAGTGACATACAGCTGTAATCCCAGATTCACAGGAGGCAGATGTACAAGGACTGTGGTCCAAGGCCATCCTCCTGACAAAAGTGAAACACTACCTGAAAATGGAAGAGTAAAGCCAAAAAGGGTTAGGGGTATGGCTCAAGTGGTTGAACACTTGCCTAGCATTGCAAAAGGCCCTGAGTTCAAACCCTAGCCCACAGACAAACAACAAAAATCTTTAGGTGTGAAAAAGTCTTAGAAATTTTATGGCCTTAGAAGAATGCAGTCATCTGACAGGTTTTTGAGTAAGTATAAATTATACAGTTTAAAGTCACTTATTAATAAACTCAATTTTTACAGCATTTCATATTCATAGCAAAAGTGAACGGGGGGGGGGGTGGCTGATGGAGTGGCTCAAGTGGTAGAGTGTCTGCCTCGGAGGTGCAAGGCCCTGAGTTCAAACCCCAGTGCCACCAAAAAAGAAAAAGTGAGTGGGAAGTACAGTGTTCATGCATAACTCCCTGTCCCCACCATATGCAGCCTTGCCTACTGCCTGTGTAGCCTCCATACAATCCATGAACCAGAGCTCACGTTCCACGTGAGGTTCCCTGTGGTACTGTACCCAGTGTGGACTTGGTAGCATGTATGGTGACACTCATCCACTGCCCCAGCGTCTTCGGATATCTTCTGCTTTGCCTCCCTCCTCCTCCACCAGCCCTTGACAGCAGCTGGTCGGTCTTTCACATCTCTGGTTTGCCGTTTCCTCACGTTGTAGTAGGGTCATGCAGTGTGCAACCTGCTCGGGCTTCTCTGGGTTAGTGATGCACAATTAACTTTCTTCCCTGTCTCGTTATGGCTTGATAGCTTGTTTCTCTAGTGCTGAACAACATCCACTGCTTAATGAATTCTGGATTGCTTTCAAGATCTGAAGGTCTTGGATGTAAAGCTGCTGTGTACACCCATGTAGAGGATTTAGTGTGGACATAGTTTCTGGTTCATCTGGGTAAATACAAGGAATGTGTGGAGGCTGTTGTCTCATCACAGTAGAAAGTCCTCCACAGCCAAGATGGAGCAGTGGTGAGGGAGTGGCAGTGCACTTGAGAAGGCAGGGACCCCCCAGGAGGAGTGGAGCTGAGGGGACACTGCCTGGTTTTCACCATTTCATTCCACTACAAGGTTTCTCTGTTTTGAAGCAGGGTCTTCCTATGTACCCCAGGCTGCCTAGAACTTGCAGTCCTGAGTGTTGAGATTACAGGTGTACACCACTACACCCAGCTCCTTCTTTTCTTAACACAGCCCTGGAACACACAGTAACTGCTGTCAGGCTGGTTTTTAGCTCAGTCAGGTAGAAGAGGGGCATGGAGGGGCATTCTTGCCCCAGGTAACCAGGCAAGCAAGGAAGGGTTGGCAGAGATTCAGCATGTACACACGTGTGTAAGAAGGGTGGATGCCTGAGCCCTTGGCCGTTTTTGTGAGTGCTGAGGGAAGAAGTGGTGAGCAAGAAGGGGTCTGAGTGTCATCTCCGGTTCAGCCCCACTGGCCTGGGAGGGATGCTTCAGTCATGCCCAGAGGAGAGAGCAAGCGTTTGTGTGTCAGCGCGTGGGCTGTTGTGATGTCATGCACTCTCCTCTGGCGTTTCAGTGATGATCTGGGATGACCTGAAGAAGAAGACAGTCATTGAGATAGAGTTCTCCACAGAGGTCAAGGCAGTCAAACTGCGGCGAGATAGGTAGGTTTGGTGTTGCTTTCCACGGTGGAATTTCACTTTGTTAAGATGGCTGAAATGCTTTTCTCCTGAAGGAGAAAAATATTTACGGAACGATGTTAAAAAGCCAGCAGCTGGTTTATGAACCAAAGCATATGAGGGTTCTTCTGGTCACTGGGAGGAAGGCAGGAATTGGCTTCTGGGCCTTGGGAGGGAATGCTGGATAGGCATGGAGCCGTTACTATAGGCAGGGCAGTGTCAGCCAGGCCCTGCAGCTGTGTCTCCATGGCATTTTCTCGCTGAAGGTAAAGGGACCGTGTCCCTGAGCTGGAAGGAGCAGGTTACATTGGGATCTGCTCCCAACAGCCTCTCTTGTGTGGGGCTGTGATTAAAAAATGATCTTTTGGGTTGGGATGGGGCTCAGTGGTAGAGTATTTGCTTAGCATTCATGAGGCCCTAGGTTAAAAAAAAAAATCCTTTTAGAGGCTGGGTATGGTATCACACCTGTAATCCCAGCAATTTGGGAAATTGAGATTGGAAGGAAAAAGTTTGTTAAGCCCCTGTCTCAAAAAATAAGCCAGGTGTTGTGTGCAGCTTTAATTCCAGCTACATGGGAGGCACAGGTAGCAGGATCATGGTCTGAAGCCAGCCCCACAGCCTCGGGCATTAATGTAAGACCCTATCTGAAAAAAAAAAGTAAAAAAGGAATCGAAGTGTGGCTCAAGTAGTAGCGTGCCTACCTAGCAAGCAAGAGGCCCTTAGTTCAAACCCCAGGGCTGCCAAAATAATAATAATCCTTTTTGTGTGCAGTATTTCCAGTGTTTCTGAGTTTCAAAATGATAACATAAATCACAAAATGTTTGTTTCACTTTTTTTTTTTTTTTTTTGCGGTGGTAGAGTTTGAAATCAAGGCCTACACCTTGAGCCTCTCCACCAGCCCTTTTTTGTGATGGGTTTTCTGAGACAGGGTCCTCTCCAACTCTTTGCCCAGGTTGGCTTTGAACATCAATCCTCCTGATCTCTGCCTCCTGAGTAGCTAGGATTACCGGCTCATGGTGTTTTACATTTCGAGGAGAGGGACTCAGATTGCATTTTCTCTTTTCAGAATTGTGGTAGTTTTGGACTCCATGATTAAGGTGTTCACGTTCACACACAATCCCCATCAGCTGCACGTCTTTGAGACCTGCTATAACCCTAAAGGTAAGACCTGGGGAGGAAGAGTGGTGGTGGCAAATAGGTCCACACAACAGGGGCCCTGTGGTGACCATGCACGCACTCAGGCCCCTGCCAGGCCTCCTCCAATCCTGCAGCCCAGTATCCTAGTGAACAGCTTGAGGCTGAAACACTCATCACAGCCCCATCCAGCCAGGCAGGCACTGGGGCTCCCTGGACAGGCCAGGCACCCTCTGGGAACCACTCAGCTTTGGTTTCAGCATCTCCTTCTCTCTGGATTAGAGGGCTGCCTATGATGGACCTGTTTATTCATTATGTCATCTTCATATTGTCTTAAAATTGCAGAGTTTTTCCCCCAGCTTTATTGCGATATAAATTACATAAAGTCACTTTTTTTTTGAGATGGGGTCTCACTGTGCTGCCCAGTACTGTGAAAAAAAGTTTATCTTGAAATTAGGTAATGTCAGTCTTCCAATCTTGTTCTTAGCTTATAATTTCTTCTTTTTTTTTTTTTTTGCTTTTTGTGGCCTTTGTGTTGCCTTCTAGTTCCTTGTGTTAGCTTGTCTGCTGAAGTTTTTGTCTGCTGAGGTTTTTATCTGCTGAGGTTAGCGTGACCACACTCTAGATGAGTTAGATCCAGCAACGCAGTCTTCCAGCCCATGATCATGGACTCACCATGCATTAGGGCCTCCTGGATAGGTCTGGTGCATTTGTGGCTGAACTTACGTTTGTTTGTTTGTTTGTTTTTATTTTTATTTAGCTAGTTAGCAAGCAAGCAAGCTGGTGCTCTCCCGCTTGAGTCACACCTTCAGCCTGAGGTTTTTTTTATGCTGTTGTTAATGGCATAGTTTTTAAATTTTGTGATTTTGCTTTACATTCTCAGTAGAAGGCACCACAACAGACGACAGAGAAAATGTAACTTTGTCAGCAGTGCAGTACTCAGCAGGTGTTTCCTATTATAAGGGTCTCCTGGGAGGCAGTTTTGTTGGCCCCAATACCCTTTACAATCAAGAGACTTTATGATTCTGACATAAATGCACATTCACAAATAATTACCATTTTGTCAACAGTCTAGAGAGCAGGGTATGTTTACTGTGACGAAGCAGAGGCTTTGGCCATTGTTGGCTCTTGACTGTTTTTCTTTCTTTGTTTAGGCCTCTGCGTCCTGTGTCCCAACAGTAATAACTCCCTGCTGGCCTTCCCAGGCACCCACACGGGTCACGTGCAGCTCGTGGACCTGGCCAGCACTGAGAAGCCACCTGTGGACATTCCCGCACATGAGGGCGTCCTGAGCTGCATCACTCTCAACCTGCAGGGAACAAGAATTGCAACTGCATCTGAAAAAGTAAGTGGGTATCCTCCTCCCGATCTCACATGCACCTGGAGTCACAGATCACAGAAAATGTGCTGCTGGCTGGCAGGCTGGCCCCTGCCAGGCTAGTCATGTCATGTGAAGTGGTGTAGACCAGGTCTTCACATACAATCTGGTTTATTCCCTATTCTTTGCAAACCAGTATGTTGTAAGTTATAATAAAATATTAAGACAGATGTGGTGGTGCATGCCTATAATCTCAGCACTTAGCTGGTTAAGGCAGGAGGATTGTGGCTGAGGAAGGAGGATTGCAAGTGTAAGACCATACTGATTCAAAAATAAATAAATAAAAATCCAGACATGATCTTAGCTACTTGGGAGGTGGAGAGAGGGAAGATCACGGATGGGTGGAAAACTTTGTGAGACCCCACCTCAACCAATAAAAGCCTGGGCTGGGGACCTGGCTTAAGTGGTACAGTGCCTGCCTAGTGAGCATGAGGCCCTGATTTCAAACGGCAGCACCATCAAATGTGGTGTGCATCTGTAATTCTAGCACTTGGGAGGCAGAGACAAGAGGATCTCAAGGTTTAGGTCATATTTTTCCAGCCCAGCTTGAGCTGCACAGTGAGACCATGTCTCGTAAAAGAAGAAAAAAATAAAAAACGGGAAAGAACTCTTACCCTAGCACTGCCAGAAAAAAAACAAAAAGTTGGGCATGTAGGCAGTCCAGGCTGGCCTGGGACTGATGTCTTCCTGCCTTCACCTCCCAAGCCCTGGATTTGCAGGTGTGCACCACCGAGATAGCAAATGTAATTTTATGTAAATTGAAAAATACAAAAAAAAATAAAATAAAAACAATAAATTTGGGCTGGTGGAGTGGCTCAAGTGGTAGAGTGCCTGCCTAGCAAGCATGAGGCCCTGAGTTCAAACCCCAGAATTGCAAAAAAAAAAAAAAAAAAAAAAAAAAAGGTTCTATATAGTATTTTTTTTTTTTCTTACCTTTTAACCTTAGATTTTCCATCCTTCCTGAACTCTCGTTTTTACGAAACAATTCCGTTATGAATATGGGTCATGGGTGCTCTTTTCTATTTCCTGCTTTCCCAATTCAGCTGTATCTTCCACATTAACTGGTGTAGAGTTTTTGTTTCTTGTGCTGGGGATGGAACCAGGGCCATGTGCATTCTGGACAAGCACTCTATTACTGAACTACACCCACAGCCACAGCCCGAGATTGGAGGGATTTTTTTTGTTTAGTTGGTTGGAGGTTTTTTGGCAGTACTGGATTTGAACTTATGACCTGATGCTTTCTAGGCAGGTGCTCTACCACTTGAGCCACTCTGCCAACCCTTTTCGTGTTGGTTATATTTCAGGTAGGTTCTCATTTTATACCTAGGCTCTGCAATCCTGTTTTTTTATACTTCTCACGTGACTGGAATGGCAGGCATGCACCCCCACACAAGGCTTTTATTGATTGAGATGCAACCTTGAGAACTTTTTGCCCAAGCTGACTTTGAACCTTTATCCTTGGTTCTCTGCCTTCTCACTATTACTGGCATGAGCCATGCTTCCAGCTTAGACGGGGATTTTTGTGATGTGTGTAGATGGTCCCTAGCTTATGGTGGTTGAGTTTCGTATCTTTTGACTTCACAGTGATGGAAAAGACTGTGCTTTGGATTTGATGTTCTCCAGTCTGTGACATGTGGACACTACTGTCTTGTGATGTTTCCGTTCCCAGTTAGGGAGAACAACTGGTGTTCTTCCCTGGGCCATGTGGCCAGCCTTGGTCTTGAATGTGGATATTCAGTAGATTCCATAAGAATTGAGCCATTCATTATGAAATGGGCTCAATGTAAGATGGTTTTGCCCAATTGCAGACTGGTTCAGGGAGGGGTTTGGTCAATTATCACCCTTCAACACTTTGTTCTGTGTTTTTCTGTCATTGAGTTAAATCAGTGTTCATGTTATAAAACTGGTAATGACAAATGACTTAGCACTGTTTTGCAGCCAACTTTCACAGCATTGGAAGTTTTCTTTCCTCTAGAATTTGCCTTTGGACTCGTGTTTGTTTAGGGTCTTTGTTCTGACAACTTTTTTCATTGCAGACTGGGTTGAATGGTGATGTTTGGCAGGTTAAAAATGTACTCTTCATTTTCAAAGAGGCCCTGAGTTCAGTACTGACAGAAATGCACTTTTCATTTTCAGATGCATCAGGGAGAATCTGGAGGGCGTTTCCTAGTGGCTCAGCTGTGGCTTGTGGGGTGGGCTCCCTCTCCTCACCCCCACAGGGATGCTACATTTCCAGGAGGGGGGATGAGGGCTCTTGTTTTAGAGGCTGCTGTTACAGTTTATATCTCTCCAGTACCAGAGTCAGCTAAGGAATCTTCTTCTGAGTTCTTCCCTGAGGTGTTGGGCCCTTCTCTCCCTTGGCTGTTGGTGTAGTCAGGTGGATGAGCTGGTCCTTTTCTTTTGTTGTGCCTCATCATCTTACAGCAGAATTGTGCTCCTCCTGACGGCTGTGGGCATCAATAACTCAATCACGTTTCTCTGGACGAGTAACAGGAACAGGGACAGGCGCTGGGGTTAGTGAAGGTCACTGACTAGGAGATGGTCTCCCGAGCCCTGCCCTGCCCTGGCCTGTGTGCTGAGCCTGTTCTCAGGGTGTGGTTATCGTTCAGCAAAGGACACACCAAGGTTTAGGTGATGTGAGAAAGGTTGGGAAAGGGTTGTGTGGGCAGTGGCTTTGAATGAAAGACCTGTCATTTGTTGATAATGAAACACTTCACTGTTTTTCAAAGGGGACCCTTATAAGAATATTTGATACTTCATCAGGGCATTTGATCCAGGAGCTACGCAGAGGATCTCAAGCAGCTAATATCTATTGGTAAGGACTTTGGTGACTTCACCGTGGAGAAGAGGCAGGACCTGGGTCAGCATGGTCTCACAACTGGGCTGTTGGGGTATTGGATTTCAACTCTTTGTGTTAGTACTGATTGAATTTTTACATAGCAAGTGTGACCAAGACAGAACACTGTAGCTTCTACCATGGGCTCACCCTCCTCTGGCAGCCGCACCACTGTGCCAGGCCTGTCCATCTCCTCACCTCCACTCCAGCTTGCTTATTTATGGTGTTTTAAAGCAAATGGTAGAGGCCTTGTTGGTTTGTCTGTAAATACTCCAGTTCTGAGAGATTGGACTGCTTTCTGGAACACATCCCACAAGGTCCTTGGTGCTGAAGCTGCTGGGCAGGATTTCATTTCATGGCTACAGCCAAGGCCTGGTACCACTCTCTGCATCTCTGATGGGAGGTGTTGAGCCACATTTAGGGGATTTACCTGTGGGTCTTGGCCCCTGGATGTAGCATGCTCTCTTGTCTGTCTGTTCTCAAGCAGACCAAATGTGGCCAGTGCCTGCCCCAGCCTGATATCCTGGAGCCTCCTGGAGCTTGCATGGGGTCTCAGGAAACCCTTCCCCTTCCTGGCACAGAGCCATCTACATTTCACCTGTAGGGCACAGATTGTGCCCTGGCTTTGCAGTTTTCACCCTTGGGTTCCACGGGGTGGGTTGGGTATTAAAGGACAGGTCCTTAAAATTACCTGGGGTGTGGAGATGCTGAGTCCTCCGGGCTGGCGCCGTGCACAGCGCAGGTTGGGTCTTTGTCCTCTCTCCGTCTGCACAGGCCTGAGCTTCATCTGGTTTCTCTGCAGCATCAACTTTAATCAGGACGCCTCCCTCATCTGTGTGTCCAGTGACCACGGCACTGTGCACATCTTTGCAGCCGAAGATCCAAAAAGGAATAAACAGTCTAGGTAGGTATTAGGAAAGCTGATGGCAGGGAGCAGTCCAAAGTCAGTTAAGGCATCTAGTTCATGAGACTCCGTCTGGAGCTGTGGCTCAGGTGGTAGAGCACCTGCTTTGCAAGTGCAGAGCTCTGAGTTCAAACTCCAGTCCTACCACCACCAACAAAAAAGACCCTCCAAGAGTAGGGCTGGATGTGGCTCTAGTGGTAGAGTGCCTTTCTAGCAAGCACAGGACTCCAAGTTCAAATCCCAGTACCGCCAAAGTTAAGTGGGTTACCAATTGTTTAAGCATAGACAACCCTAACAGCAGGTCGAGGTTGGAGCCCTTCACCCATCGTTGACTGTGAGGTTGGAAAGCCAGTACAGGTTATTACTTGGCCTGGTGCTGGTGCTGATGGAGGCCAACCTTCCAGGTGCTGTGGAGGCTAGTCCTGAGCGGGACAGTGCCCTCTTGTGGACAGTGCTCTCAGAAGCTTATTCAATGGCGGGAGATAGCTGAGCCCCTGTGTGCTGAGTGTCATGTTTGATTGTAAGACCATTTCTAAGGCCTCAGTTCTTATGTAATAAATGATTTTTTAAAAGAGAAAAAAAAATTCATCCAAAGCTGTAAGAGAGTTTCAGTATTTTCAGTTTTCTGAGTTTAGGCGAGTGACTTTTCTGAGTCTTGTTGACTTTGTGAGTACAACCACTTTTCTTTTCTTCGTTGTCTTCACAGTTTGGCATCAGCCAGTTTCCTTCCCAAATACTTCAGCTCCAAATGGAGTTTCTCCAAGTTTCAGGTCCCCTCAGGCTCTCCGTGCATTTGTGCCTTTGGAACAGAGCCCAATGCAGTCATTGGTGAGTAGTCCTTCCTGGGTGGGACGCCCCTGGCATGGTCCAGGCTGCGTGGCTGCCATAGCTCCCTCTTTTCTGTGATAGTATCCTGTTTATGGCTGTACAGGTATTTGTGTGCTGTCAGCCCCGCTTCCAGGGTTTCCCAAGAGGGCATGTTCTATAGCCAGCACTCATTGCACAGGTATACACCCAGGACATACAGGCCTGCTGTAGTTCTGCTTGGGCTTTCAGCTGTCTGTACTTAGCTCAGTGACACTTGCTTTCGACTGTTGGGAGAAGAGGTGTGTGGTGACATGGCCTTCTGTTTCAGCAATCTGTGCCGATGGCAGCTACTACAAGTTCCTGTTCAGCCCCAAGGGCGAGTGCGCCCGGGATGTGTGTGCGCAGTTCCTGGAGATGACTGACGACAAGCTGTGACTCCACCCATGAGCATGGCCAGTGCCACCATCCAGTGCCCCACAGACTCCTGGGGCTGGTGCCAGCGCCCCAGGCCTGTGGGTGAGGGGCTCGAGGGACCGCCTGGGACCTTGGTCTTGAAGCCATACATGGTTGTCTGCCTTCCTGAGCAAGGCCTCCCAATCCTGTATTAAAGAGAACCATCATCAAGGCTCCACAGACACTCGGTGGCTCTGGGCAGCTTGTGCCCCTGCCAGCCACTACCCTTTAGTTCAGCTGTGACGTTAACGTGACAGGCTCCATGCAGACATGGGGACAGGCCGAGAGCAACACTGACAGACGGAAGCTTGTTTTTGCAGTAGATTCCCTCACTTCTCGAGAGTCTGCAGTGGGGAGAGGAGCAAGTCTGAGGTGTCAGTGGTCACATCACAGGCTGCCTGTGGCAGAGACACAGCTGGCCCTCTGTGAGCCAGCACAGTCTCTGTACCAGCGTGGGTGTCCTGACTCCGCTGGAGCCTTTAGGATGAGGAACACACCAGACCCAAGGGTACACAGGATGCCTGGGCAATATCTGGAACCCTAGTTCTCAGGCTGGTGGCCTGGGTCTCCTGGTTGGTTTGGGTTAAAACGGAGGGAACAAAGTAACAACGTAGGCATATGGATTAGTCACAAAAAGAAAAAGCAGCAGTTATTTTGGGACCTTCCCAGTGCAGTGCCCAGTGTGTCCTGTGGTGACCCGTCATGCTAGTGTCCCTCACCCCGCCTCTCGGCATTCAGAGGAATTCCACGCTAAGGAAAGACGTGCGTGGTACTAACACAGGCTACAGGCCCTGTGCAAGTGCCAGAGGTTTGTTTCATTTAAGTCCCTTTCAAGGCCCACCGTTCTATGGTTTTGGTTTCAGGTTCCAAATGTTTAAATTCTGCACAGCGCATGTCCTCAGTTCTCCCAGTTACTTTGCGTCCTGTAATCAGCTAACGTCATATGTGGACTTGATGTCAAGTATGCATGTTACCTTTGTGTATTTAATCATGAAACTTAATTTTGCACACTTATTTGTACTGTTTCTTTTAAATAAAAGTGACTAATTTTGTTGTACTCGGTACTTGTAAAGCACAGAGCAGTGCATGGGGAAGCAAGTGTCCTGGCCCTGTGTACCTGGCTGGGCTGTGGGTCCAGGACCTGTTCCCTGTGCCTCGTGTGCTCCTTGTTAGCCCAGCCTCAGAAGAGAAGAGAACCTGCAGATTTGGGGGGTTGGGGCCTGTCGGAGAGTGGGGATGCAAACAGCAGTGTTCACTCAGTTCTGCTGCACTGCCCTCCCTTGCTTCAGGGGTGTCAAGTGTGCTGCCCTTCAGAAGCCGCTGCCCAGTGAGCCATTGGCTGCCTGTTTTTGATTTGTCTGATGATGCTTTTGAACTGTTGCTTTGAGCGGGTGGGTGTCAGGGTCCTTCGTTTATGCAATGTCCAGTTCACTATTTTCCTGAACGCAGTCTAATGTATTAGACGTTAGTATATTGTGTTAGGAGAACACATAAGGAAAAGAGGGCCTGCTCCAGCCGTGGATAAAGGCTTCAGAACTGATGGGAGCAGGCTTGTTGACAGGGACTCGGAGCAAGCCATGCTGGGGACATGGCTTCTGGTTGGCTGGCCAGAGCTGGCCAGAGTTGGGCTAGGTCTCTTTGGGTGGCCTTCCTGGTCACCTTGGCCCACGTCATCCCATGGGTCTGAAGTTGGTTCAGCTTTGGCCTCCGTGCAAGGGTAGGTCTGTTCTTGAGCACCTTCCAGGTTGTTACCTCCCTTCTTAGGTGCACAGGCTGACCAGACAGCAGGGCGAGGGCCTAGGAGGAAGTAAGTGCCTGGCACTACCTGCTACCCGAGGTATTTGCTTGTCTCTAGGAGCAGCACTGGACTGGGGTTCAGAAGCAGACACACTTCTCAGACGCTGTATCTCCCTGCTGGGCTGACCAAGGGCAAAGGGCAGACATAAAGGTCCTTTCTGGTGTTTGAGAAGCTCCTCCTTGGTGGGTGGTTTTCCCAGTGTGGCCTTGGATGGTAGGTACCACTGGGCTGTCCAGACACGAGTGCAGGCCGCAGTGTTTCTCTGGCCCCAGGGTTCCAGCGCCCAGCCTCAGTGTTAGCTTCTCTCTAGCCCTGGCTGTTGTGTCCTCAGCCTGGGTTCATCCCTTCTCAGAAACCCCAGGCTCACCTGGCTATGGGATAGGGCTCATGGGGCACCTACCCGAGGCTTGATGGTGGCCCTGGGTGAGTCCTGGCCGTTCTTCCCCCCCAGCTGCTTTGGCCAGCCTTACTGGCTTTCAGCAGTCTTGTTGACCAAAGGTCTTTAGATCTCCTTTCTGCAGCCAAACCACGCTTTTGGGTGCAGCACGGTATCCTGGCCCGTTCCTCACCTCTTTCAGTTCTTGACGTCAGAAGCTTTTGGTTGACTCGCACGTTTTGAGACTTGGGTTGTGCATAAATCTTTGTCTTCAAAATGGGCTGGAAAGTGTTGTTTATAATCAGAAAACAGCATGTATTCTTTTTGTAAACTAAAGAAGACAGGGAAAAATACAAAGTTGTAGCAGAACTGCCCTGTTCTGCAGCCACATTCAGAGGTAACCCACACCTTTTGTTGTACTTAACATCTCAAATACCCTGAGATGTCCTGCTTCTTAATGTGGGTTTGTTTTGTGATGATGGTACTGGGGTTTGAACTCAGGGCCTCTTGCTTTTTAGGCAATTCCATCAGCCCTGTTTTTTGTGTTGGGGTTTTTCAAGATAGGGTCTGACAAACTATTTGCCTGAGGCTGGCTTCATACTGGTTTGGTTTTGCTTTTTAACATTACCACTTAAAAACTCCTGAGCATATCAGATATGCTTGGGTTGCTCAAGATGCATATTTAGTTTTTTTGTTTTTAATTGTATTGTAGCCCAGGGTGGCCTTGAGCTCAAGATACTCCTGCCTCAGATGGGATTACAGGCTTGTGCTACCATAGCTTTGTGCATATTTGTACTTTTTGCTGTCACACAAATGTAGAAATAGAAATCTTTGTGCATGAAGGTTTACAAACTTGTTGAATTATTTCTTTGGAATAAAGGAGCTGTAAGTACCTGGGCATTGGTGGCACATGCCTGTAATCCTGGCTACTCAGAAGACAGAGATGAGAGGATTGTGGTTCAAAGCCAGCCTCGGGAAATTGTGAGACCCTATCTCAAAAAAAAACCCAATACACACATGGCTAGTAGAGTGGGTCAAGTGGTAGCAAGTGTGAGGCCCTGAGTTTAAACTCCCAGTACCACCAAAAAAACAAAAAAGGAAAAAAGGGAAAAAAAAAAAAAAAAGCTTTAAGTCAGAAGGCTTTTGAGCTTGATGCGTGTTTGCTGCCTCTTCCCACAAGACTCCATCATCTTAAACCCCAACACCAGTTCATAGGAACAAGCTCTGGGCACCATTTTTTCCCTTGAGACAGGGTCTCCATACATAGCTAGCCCAGGCTGTCCAATTCACAGTCCTCCTAAGTGCTGGAATCACAGGCATGTGCCGCCCTGCCCAACCTGTTTCAGTCTTTAATGAGGAAACAAGATTTCTAGAAAGGATGGATGGTTTGGAATGTTTGCTGCAGTGCCGAGGATGGAACCCAGGGTCTTGGACATGCTAGGCAAGCACTCTGAGTACCAGGAAAGTGCCTGCCACTTGTTTTTAGGTGCCTGTTCATATCTATGCCTTTCTGTCACTATCTTGTGTTTTTGTAAGAACTTTTCATTGTATCCCTGTTTTTTTCTGCTTAGAATTTTTTTTTAATGTACATATTTATTTTTTGGTGGTACTGGGGTTTGAATGCAGGTCTCATGCTTGCTATGCAGAGACTTTACCACTTGAGTCTGCAGCCTCTATCTTGATTTTTGTGTAGTCAGATCCATCAAGCACTTTCTTTGCTGTGTCTAGTATTTATCAAAACTACACTTTGGGTACTATTTTATGGTTTCCTTCACACACTCACTGTGGGGTGGACACCTCATTTTCCTTCTGCACCAGGAGGGTGAGTGTGGCACAACACAAGCCACGTATCTCTGACTTGGTCCCCATCCTGGTTTACACCACCCTGGTTTACAACCAGCACTTCGTTCTGGTTTGGGTGATGAATTATGCAATGCTCTATTTAAATACCGTTGGCTTCCTTGCTCATTGTTGCCGACTGACCTAGTACTGGGGCCCTGGGACCTTGAGATGTCCTCCCAGGAACTTTAATCTGGAATAATAGCTAAGAGCAGTGGAAGTGGATCTCAGGTACTTGGGGGTGCGGGGGGGGGGGAGGAACAGGAGCACAGGACTCTTGCAGGTAATAACAAACTCATCTGCTTGTTTTTACATTTACTTATTTTGGATGGGGCTGGGATTTGAACTTCATGCTTGCAAAGCAGGCACTCTACGGCTTAAGCACATCTCCAGTCCATTTTTCTCTGGTTATTTTGGTGATGGGGAATCTAGAGAACTATTTGCCAGGGCTGGTCTTGAACCTGGATCCTCCTGATACCAGCCTCCCAAGCAGCTAGGATTATAGGCATGAGCCGCTGGCGCCCAGCTATATTGCTTGTTTTTAAATGACAAAAAGCCCTTCTCTTTGCTTGAAGGGAACCAAACCTTCCTTTTCTACTTGTGTTCTACTTCAAGACGACAGAAAACTATTGCACAAAATTATGATTTGAAAACCTGATATGGAGTGTGGTTTTCTTTGTATTTACTTGAATCAAAACTTGAATCTAAATTTATGGGTTTCATCAAATCTGAAAATCCCAGGCATTATTTCACTCAGCAGTCTTTCTGCCCTTATCTCCTTTAGGAAATTAGGTTCCCTTAATAGCACCTCTTATGTTGTCCCACCGCTCACTGAAACAGTTCACGTTTGTTAAATGTTTTTTCTGTTTCTTTCAAATGGGACAATTTTTATCTGTTGTCATCTGCCACTGTCCTGCCCATTCTGTGCGTTCTTAGCTATTTGTTCAAAGTTGGTTTCTAGCTCTCCATCCTCATGTTGGTCTTGGTAAACCTCAGCTGGCTTCCTCTTACTCTGAGTGAGGGTCATGTTTACTTCTGGCATCTCCAGTTGTACTGTGGACATTGCAGATGGTTCTGTCATGTTCACCATTCAAACTCGCACTGAGTTCCCAGTCTGCTGAGGTGGGAACAGCATGGCAGGGTAGGCCCTGGCCAGGAGGACAGTGAATCACACAGGGCTTTTGGCAGGGCTTTGAAGGAGGCCCTTGCACACACCATGGGAATGGTGTCTGATTCCCTTCAATGGCTTATCTGCACCTGTGGGGACAGTTGTGTTTTTCTTTACTATTCATGTGCTGAATCACACCACTGAGTTTTCTTTGTGTGTGTGTGGGCAAGGTCTTGCTATGTAGCCCAGCCTGGCCTTGAATTTGAGATCTCCTGCCTCAGCCTCCTAAGTGCTGGGATTACATGCATGAGCCATCAGCTCCTTTTTGTTGGTGTGATGCTGGGGATTGAACTCAGGGTCTCAGAAATGCTATGCAAGCACTGACCCACTGAGCTACACTACCAGTCTCACACTGAGTTTTGAATCTTTCCTGAGAGAAACCCACTTGATCACAGTGTGTTATCCTTGAGTATTGCTGGATTTAACCTGTTAATAATATCAGAGGATTTTTTGGTGTATGTTTTTCTTTAGGGGTCTCAGGCTGCAAGCTTGCTAGGCAGGCACTCTACCACATGAACCACACTCCAGCCCTTCTGCTTCACTTCTTTTTCAGATGGGGTCTTGCACTTTCGCACAGGCCACTGCAATCCTCCTGCCTCTTGCCTCCTAAGTAGCTGCTTTGCCTGGTGTGGACTTTTCTAAGGGACACTGATTTTTAATCTTACACTGATGTTATTATCGTCACACTCTGGTATCAAAGATGTCAGGCCAGTAATTTGTGGTTTTGGCATTAAAAAAATTTAAAACCATTTGCCTTATGCAGCAAGCACCAAAATGCCGACGTACACTGGATTTGAATAAAAGCAGTAGACGTGAGATAGCAGTGGATTGACTTCCTACAGCTGTGCCAAGAGAAATGCTGCCAACACAGGCCGTAGGCTGCCCTGGCTGAGCCTCTGGTACTTGTCATGCCTCCAGGGTCCCTTCCTTGTCATCAGCCAGAAGCCCAGGTTGCATCTTGGGAGATGAGTTCTGGGCTGTAAGTTGAGGACCAATTGTCCCAGAGCTTCTTGGGGCAGGTGGAGAAGATGACAGTCAAGGGTCTGACCAGATGCCAGAGGGCACCTCTATGACCTTGGCAATGGACAGGTGACCCCAGGAAAGCCAGCATCCCTGCTTCAATGTCCACATCTGCACAAGGCTGATGAGACAGGAAGATGGTTCCTGTGTTCCGTACCAACAGTGGCCTGTCTTTGAATGTCTGTTGGACATGAACTTGCTCTATGGTCATTATTCAGCAGGCAAGAATTTATTGCCAGTCAGGGCCTGTGACAACTCATGCCACGTGTTCTGTGAGCAAAGGTTAACATGTTCATTTGAATACAAGAACATAAAGGTTAAAAGCAAGTTACTTTTCTAACTCAAGAAAGAAATTACCTCCTCTATCTCCACGTCAAACTCATGTCAAAACCACTACTTCTGCAGTCTTTCAAGGGTGGTGCACATGTTTCTGGATGAAAGATGTCCCCAGGAGGAGTGTGACAGGTACCTGGAAGAGGAGCCACCCAGCATCCCAGAACATGGTGAAAACCAGCGCAAGAGCAGTGTCATCACTGTGATAAAATGAAGTAGACTAAGACAGAGGATGTGCTCAGTGCTGGACATCACCTCCACAGAGAACCAGGAACCTTGGCCACAGCCGCCCTCTCTCCAGCCTGAGCACCCACAGTCAACTGCCTCTGGGTTTGCCTGTGTGACATTTCCTATACTGCAGTCACAGCCCGTGGCCTTTTGTCTGGCTGCTTTCAGGTTTAATGCAGTTGAGAAATCTCTTAGTGTTTACTGGCTTTCAGGAGAGGAGGACAGCTGGGAGAGCTGACTCCCACAGTCTCTTCTACATCACTGCAGCCTGTGCTGCCAGCCCACCCAGGGTTCAGGTGCCTGTGCTCAGGCCACACAACTGTGCACGGCCAGTGAGCTCAGCCCAAGGGAGGAGTGCTTGCTTATACTACACTGTAAAGGTCATTCAGGAACTCGCTATCACGGTCTTCGAGTGTGTCGGAGTGACATACAATTTGCACACCCCACACATCCTGTCCATACCACACACCCCACAGCTGCCGCTCAGTGAGCTGTCAGATCAAAACACAAGCAAGCTGCCCTACTATTGGCTCTACCACTGTGGCTATAGCCACTGGGCTGGGTGATGGCGCTGGCAACCACGACATAAAATGCCCAATTCACAAGACGGTATCAGGCTCCCATCACTCTCCCTCCAGGCTGCCAACATCTGCTCAGACCAACCACAGTGGTTGGTTTGGATGGGTTCCTGCACTCTTGTTGCCTTGCTGCAGGGACCTACTCCTAGGGCTTTCTACTCTGTCACCTTCCATGACAATACTCCTTAGGTTTGGAATTACTAATTCAATGTTTTTCTCTCCTCTCCTCTTTATCTCTTGAACATGGTAGTTGAACTCAGGGCCTCCCATTTGCTAGACAGGTGCTCTGCCACTTTGAGCCACATCCCCTCGATTTAAGGAGACTGTCCATTCTGCTTTTTTGAATTTTTCTTTGGTAGTACTTGGGTTTGAACTCAAGGCCTTGTGCTTGCTAAGCAGGAGCTCTATTACTAGAGCCACTCCACCAGTCCTTTTTTGTTTGGGGTATTTGTGAGATAGGGTCTTGCAAACTGTTGACTCAGGGCTTGCTTCAAAACATAATCCTCCTGATCTCTGCTTCCTGAATAGCCAGGATTACAGATGTTTTCACAGGATTCCTGTTACCCTTTTAATGGTTTCAGGCCTGAAATTCAGGTTCCACTGTATGCTTCCTCAAAAGTGGGTGGAGTGGGGGGCCTTATAGCAGCCTTGCTGTAGGTTCCTGATCACTCTGCACTGATGATGAACACCTTGTCACACACCAGGTACAGCCCCACTGCTCCTGAGGAGTAGGGTTCAGGTCCCTCCCTGCCCAGTGAGCCACTGGACCAAGCCAACCATGTCTGGATACCTCACAGCCTGCCTCCTGCAGCCCTGTGTGCCCTCTTCCTCATGAGTGACTAAACTTGTCTCATCTTCCCAGGGTCCACGGGTGAGTAATAGGTCACTAGAATGCCAGGAGTAAACATTCCTCCTTTCATTTATGAAGTTGGGAATTTGTGCCTTGGTCATTCTCACTAGAATTTTTTTTTCCCCAAAAAATCAACTTTAATTGATTTTTATCCCTTCAATTTTATGGACTGCTTTGGATTGTTTGTTCTTTGCTACTTTAAAATGGAAATGCAGGTGCCTGAGGGCTTTTCTGACACTGGCATTTTAATACTATAAAATTCCAGTATTGGCCAGGTGTCAGTGGCTCAGGCCTGTAAATCCCAGCTACTCAGGAGGCAGAGATCAAGAGGACCTCGGTTCCAAGCCAGCTAGGCAATTAGTTCATGAGACCCTACCTCAAAAATACCCAATATAGAAAAAGAGCTGGTGGAGTGGCTTAAGTGGAAGAACACCTGCCTAGCAAGTGTGAGGTCCTGAGTTCAAAGTCCCTCTTCCCCCAAAATTCCACTATTTTATTTTTTTATGGTACTGGGGCTTGAACTCAGCCACTCCACCAGCCCTTTTTGTGTTAGGTATTTTCTCCTTGTAGTTCTCTCAATTTTTGGTTCATTCATTCACTCACTCTTAGTGCTGGGACTCTTAACTCAGTGCCTCATGCATGGTCTGATGCTGAGTTGCACCTCCAGGCCTGGGTCCTAATTTACTAGGGTCTGTGGCCAGGTTCATAAACATTAGGGTGATTGTATCTTCTCTGTGAGCTGACTTATGTGCTGTGTAATGAATGTCCTTTATCCCTGTAACCATCTTTATCCTGAACTCTGCCCACCCCAGCCTTCTTCTGATGTGTTTGTATGATATACTGTTACCATTTGAACCTGTCTGAAGATCATGTTGGGCCTTATTTTTTGATCCAACCCAATGTCTTTACTTGGTGTTCCAACCATTTGCATTTAATGTAGTAATTGCGGCTTCTATCATAGTGTTTTTGGCCTGTCCTCTCCCTGTGGTTTCATTTTTCCTGCCTTCTTTGGAATTGCTTGCAAATATTTTATCATCATTTCATAACTTCATATCTTTGTTAAGAGTTATTGATTGCTCTTGAGAGTACAATATGAAAGTGAGCTTTTCGGTTACTTCAAGTTAGATTTACCCCTTCCAGCAAAATGAACTTTTACATTGTAATTTGGTTAACAATATTCCAAGTAAATACACTGACCATCCTCAGGGCATGTTACAAGCTTTGCTTTGAAGGATCACTCATACTTAAAGAGCTTAGGGGAAAAAGTGAGTTTGCTGCAGATAGACACCATTTTCATTACCTTCTTCACTCCTCAGGGGCCAAGATTCTCTGCTTTTACCTGTTAAATTTAAAAACAAAACAAAAAAATTAAAAAGCAAACAAAAAATCAGACTTCCCTCAGCATTTTGTTACAGCAGCTCCAGTGGGGAGTAGTTCTCTTTTTCTTTATCCAGGAGTGTGCTTATTGTACTTGTGCTCCTGGTATTTCCGATGGAACGAGTATTCTGACAGTATTTATTCCTTTAAATTTTTCTAGTATTCTGGCCTCTGAAGTTTCCGAGAGAAACTTGTCATTTGGATGTACATCCTCTATATGGATCTGACATGACTGTAGTCAAACTACACAGACCTAGGATGACTGACTAGTTATCCTCCATGAACCTAAGATGATGTAGCCTTCATTGAAGAGACCTCAGACGACTGCAGTCTCTCCATTGACCAGGAATTGAGATGCCAAGTTCCTAAAATACTTTTTAAATTTTTTACACCAGTGTCTTTTCTCCTTTTGCTGGGACTCTAGAGGCACACATACCTGGCACTTCCAAAATGTCTTACACATTCCTGAAGCTCAATTATTTTTGTTTCCAAATGTTTTCCTGTCCAATGAAGTCAGTCTTTCATTTCAGGGTTTTTTTATTTTATTTTATTTTTTTGGGTTTGATCTCAGGGTCTCATACTTGCTAGGCAGGTGCTCTACCACTTGAGCCACTCCACCAGCCCTGTTCAGTGTTGGGTATTTTCAACACAGAGTCTCAAGAACAACTATTTGCCTAGGCTGGCTTTGAACTGCAATCCTCCTGATCTCTGCCTCCTGAGTAGCTAGGTTTGCAGATGTGAGCCACCAGTGCCCGGCTTGCTCTGGCTATGCCCAGATTGGCTTGGACTCCAATCCTATTTATACTTCCCAAGTAGCTAGGATTTCAGGCATGAGGCACCTTTCAGTTACTAGGTTCTAGAACTTTGGAGTATTTTGCCTGTGTGAAACATGGTTGTCACTGTTCTCTAATGATCATCTTAGAGTTGAGGTCTGACCTCTTTGGGGTTGAGAAAGTATGTTGAATACTTATGGATGCTTTGCCCACTTTGGAAAGTCCAGTTTTGTTTAGTGGTGCCCACTCCTTTTGGAGCAGTGGTTCCAATGTGCGATCATCCCAGCCCATGCAGAGCTATTCACATCAGAGCTTGCATGCAGCACTGCGGCGATTCCATGGCTCTTTCAGGTCAGTTTTGCCATGGTAGCTTGCGGCAGGGCAGACACCCAGGGTGTACTGTTACAGTTTTTCTCTGGTCTCCCTCACACTGTGTCTCCCAGGCCCCTTCTTGCTGTTAGCTAAAAAACTCAGGTTCTTAGACTTCCTGTGTGTTCCCATTCCTAAGACTGGTTCAGCTTGGGCCAAAGTGGAGAGAGAAAATGGAAACAGTGAGCAGTAATGGATCCCTCTCCCTCCTTGGACTCCCTGTGCCCCATTTCCCAGTTCCTCTAGTCAGAGTGAAGGACCTTGAATCCTCAGTGTTCACAAGGCTGCTGATAGCATTATCGGGCCACCATTTTCCCCTGGTCATGGACATTCCCGGGACACCTGCCATGAGGGAGAGGGCTCCTCCTGGCACTTTATATTCGTCTCCTTATTTGGGCTGCCCCAGTGTAGGCCAGGCCAAGCCATAAGTGTCATCCATGGTTGGTTCTTCCAGCTGTAATCTCTTACCCCCAATCTGCCTATTTGCTTTTGAACTATTCACTTCCACAGGGCTGAGACAGTGGCTTTACAATCTGTCAACAGATAACAACTGCACCCACTGAGAGCGTGGGTGGCCCTGGGGCCTTTGAAGATCTATTGCCACAGATGTACTCCTGTCACCAGAGACATCACCTTAAAAGTTCTAACACAGCAAGCTCTATGTCAGTTTACCACTGTGTCCACAGAAATCCACAAGGAGTTCTGCTCAGTGGGGCAGTGTTAAAGCTGTCACAGTCTCTGGCATCTTTCATCTCTCCAAGTTCAGGCCTGGACTTATCATGGTGCTGCATGCAGGTTAGCATCTTATACCTACAGGAGCAGTGATACTCTGTTGTGCCGCCCCACAATAACCAGCATTGCCTCTGGCTACCAAGCCTCTTACCAGAATCACTGCACTGTCCTGCTTGGAGGCTCCGCTCTGCAGCTTCTGTCTTGGATGAAGTCAGTTATCCTCCAAGATGGTTGTTTCTTCCACCTTACCCAGTTTAACTTCAATACAGTGAACCTAGCAATTTGCTAGAAAAAACTTTTCCCACGAGGGTGGGAGGGGGGGGTGTTGAGAGCAGAATGTAAAAATGTAAGTCCAAGTACCTACTAATGCAAATGGACAACACATCTGTCAAATTGCTAATGGCTGCTGCCTGAGCCAGAAGACAGATGATAAGACAGTCAACTCCTTTATGCTGACATGAGCTGTCTCTGAGCAGGAGTCCGTGCAGGCAGGGAAGCCTGCATTTGAGCACTATTTCCCAGGATCATATCCCGTGTCAGCATTTCAGGACCACCTCCTCCCCTGCACTGGGTCAGCACTGATGATGCCTGCGAACACTAGGCCACCAGCACTCCATGCACAGACTACAGTAGCGTCATTTGAGAACCTCAGCATTCATGTACCATTTTGTAAAGATTTTCTTTTGCCGTATCAAGTTGTCTGCACTGATTTTGACCCTTAGGTTGAAGGGCAAGCGTGCAGAAGAAATGGCAGGGACAAGTAAGTTTTGAAATACCTTGGAAAACTCTGTCAGAAAGTTAGCAAGACATCATTACCACTGCCTGTGCCACTGTGCCTTGTCCCATGAAGATGATCAAAACCCTTCTCTCCAGGGGGAGCCCACAACTGCTAGCAATCAGCACACACCTGGCAAAGTCTCCCCAAGGTGCAAGGCCTCTGTGCACTCAGAAGAGCGCATAGGCTAAAAAGTAAAACAGAAATGTCTATTTATCAAAACGACAATGATACTCTGTATTCAATTAAAATTAATAAAAATACTTTATTGAATTTCAGGAACTTGGTACTTTTTTTTTTAAATTTCAAATCTTTGCACACAGATCACCACTCTACTTTGTCTAGAATCGCAGCCGTTTGGACTTCAAGATTGTCGCTTCTCTCCTGTGTCACAGAGAATAGACAATCCCAAGTTCTGACACTCGCTGTCCCTTTTGACCATGACTAAAGCTACTCTGTGACCCCAGCAGAGGAAAACGAGGTGGGAGATTTAAGGAGACCAGCTGTCCACACGCACATATTCTGCATGAATGAAGAGGGTGATTCACACTCTTGGGATGCACTACGTACTCAGGGACTTAGGTGAGTTTCGCTTGTGTTCTCAGGGCAGAGCTGAGAGCAAGGTGCTAGTCCCTGAGGGAGCTCAGAAGTTTGGCAAAGACCAAACAGAGACATCTTGAGAGTAAGACACTGAGGAGCCACTATGGAGCTGGGAGTTGTGGTAGAAAGGAAAGACAGCTCTGTGGCAGCCATGAGCAGCAGATGCTGAGCAGAGCTGCAGTGGCAGAAGCCCAGCACCCTGGTGTATGGGGTCTCTTGGAAACTCAGCTAAACACAAAACTCAAACACAGTGTCCTAAACACTGGAGAGAAAACCTGGGCATGGTAGTTTGTTAAGCCATGATTCTTCTTCACAGCCTTAGATTCTATGAGCCAAAGCAGCAGCAAGGTGTGTATAGCAGCGAGTAGGAGAAAGAGGAGCATCTACTTCATTCTGGAATCAAGACTGAGAATACCACCTTCGAAGCATTTAAGAAACAACCCTCCTCCCATCTTTAAAATTCTGAAGTTGGGCATTTTTCTGATCTATGACCCCAACAGAAACAAACCCCTCCAGACCCACAGTCTGTTTTAAGTTTAGACATAATCAGTCAACAAACTATGCTTACACAGGGAAAGTACCCAAGTCCTTCTGGATGGTCATGTGCTGAGGTTCAGATGTCTCTGGGAAGCACAGCCCACCTGCCCTCCTGGCTGGCAACAGAGCACCATGCAAGCTGAGACCGAGAGATCTGGACCCATGCGCAGGACACACCATATGCCAAAGAATTTTGCAAACTGCAAACCTTCTGAATAAGAAGTGCACATTCCAAGGCATCTGTAAAGTGCATGGAGGATGCAGACTGCTGCACAGAGGGCTCTGAAGGCGGACTTTGCTACTGGCACACACACGGGCTCGCTCATATGATCTCTCACTTTTATTTTTTTATAAATCCAGCTAGTGTGCAGTAACTTCATAATTTTAATACGTATCATCTGTAGTAACATGTGACAGCTCCATACTGTGGGTGACACGCAATACTTAGAACAGACGTATATTTGGTCTTTATGTAAATAATAAATGTTTTAAAATTGCCTAAATATACCATTCTGAGCCATTTCATTCCACCAGGAAAATACAGGTTTTTTTTCCCTCTCTTTAAAAAAAATTAAATACCAAAATAACTACATTTAAATAAATAATGTTATGATGATGACATTAAAAAACGCACAATAAGGCTAAAGCCCTCTCTGTCCTACTGCTGCCCAGCCCTAACCTGGAGCACTCTGGAAGGTGAGTGGCGCTGTTCCCAAGGATGGTGGGCTGAAGCTGCCGCCTCCTACCTCTGCTTTCCTTCCCTCGTGATTTCATTTCTGGTAGGATGGTTCTGAGAGACCAGGAAAACCTCCTACTGCGAATCAGAACATGGCCAGAGGCCTCCAGCACATGGCGGCAGGACACTTGCTTCCAGACCCTCTCGTTACCTGGCAACGTCTCCTCCACAGTGCAGGGGCTCGTGTCAACTGGGGAAACTGCAGCACAAAAGTAGACAGCTGGTCAGACGATGCCAGGCGCCGGGAAGGACACCTACAGTATCACAGGTACCACGAGAGATCTGTGATCTTGGCTTGAAAATGATGAAGACTGACTCTTTTTACCAAAGGAGGAAGTACGGGTTCTGTCGTTTTAAACATACACAATACTGGGGAGATTTGTTTTACTTAAAGTGGGAAATTATGCCAGGGACAAAGTCAACAAAAAGAAAACACAACAAAAACCAGCAAGAAGAGCAGGTCGTGCAGCTCAGATGCATCCTGGCCTTCCCTTCTGTCCCGCTGCTCCCTGGCCTCATGGGTCCGTGCAGCCGTGGCACCATCTGCCCTATAACTGACCGGGGGAGGAACTTGGGGGTTAAATTCATCAAGCAACTGCTCTATCACGGATACGTGCAGGTGTCCGACAGGAGCACCACCTGGACGTTGACAGGACAGACAAGAGCAAACCATTCCATGGGCTGAAAACAAACCACAGAAACAAACAAAATGACGTTGCCTTTTTCCCTAAAAGAATTCACATGAAAGGTCCTGTGATTCCAAAATTTCCAGAGTAGAAACGGAGTGATGTGAAATGTCAAAGACCCCATTATTGTAAAGAAAGTACACCTCAAAATATTCTAATTCCACATGTGAACAACAAAATACTGTCTTGTCTCCTGTGAGGGTGGTGGGTGGCTCCAGCCCTGTCCCTTGGAGGACAGCCCAGTCTTGTGAGATCCACCCACACAGGTGCTGACCGTTTGTCCTCACATGAGGCTCTGTCCCCCAGGAAGGACCAAGAGTTCTTGCTCATAGTTAAAAGCGGAGCCCACAAGCAGCAGCCCAGCAAGTGCTCCCCGCTGGGGTCTGTTCAAGTGTGACTTCTGTCTTTAGGTAGGGAGTTTTAAGGCCACCTGGGTTTTCAGTGCTGAGAGGTGAAGTCCAACCACAGGGCCCTTTACCCACCGAGAGGAGCATGGCTGAGAGGCGACGGCTCCTTTTGGCACCACTAATGATGTTTTAAGTAAGAAAAGCTCTCCCAGCACTAGTTTTGGGTCCCCTTTTCCCTCACGGCTGCTGGTGGCGCGTCCACACTCAGGGCAATGAAGATGCTCTCACTGTCTTCCGCTTTGATCCGCTTGAGCTCTGGCTGCTCTGTCTGGTCACCGTTCTGGCGCTTTGTGGGCAGGGACGCTGATGCTGATGCGTGGGTTGCCAACATGTGTAGGGGACTTGCTGCTGCTGAAGAGACGACAAATCAGAACTCATACTCATGAGTAAACCTTCTATCCTAAGGGCCCATCAGACCCCACACTCATAGGTAACCCTTCTACTACAGGGCCCAACACTCCAGACCCCTTGAGCCTTATATAGGACCTGAGGGACAACCCACAGTGTGGATGGACATGGGTTGATCCATGGGGACCAGGAAAGCTGACCAGTGGGTATTTTTATTAACAACTGATGCTCAAGTCCAGCCATGGTCTCAAGACAGACAGGGAGGCCTCTGCTCTGTCCCCCTTGTACAGAGATCACTTGTTGCTTCCCTGTGTTAAGTGCTTCCTAAAAGGAGGGAATTGCTTGGCACTGGTGGCTCTTGCCTAATCCTAGCTTCTCAGGAGGCAGAGAGGATCAAGGTTCAAAGTCAGCTTGGGCACATAGTTCGAAAGACCCTATCTTAAAAAAACCCAACACAAAACAGGGCTGGCAGAGTAGCTTAAGTGGTAGAGTGACTGCCTAGCAAACATGAGGCCCTGAGTTCAAACCCTGGTACCATTAAAAAAAAGACAGGAAAAAAAAGAAGGGAGAAGGGTTGTTGTAGTTCACAGAAGAACAGCTGTTTCTCAACTGTGTTTTTTACAGTGCACTCCTGGGTCAGTCCAAAGAGCATGCAGAGCAAGAATGAAAAGGAGAATGGCCCAGATAGCTACAGCTGACTAATATTTTAAGGGCCACATTTCCAACTGAGATGTGATGGGTAATGTTAGATGTCAACTTGGCTGAGCCATGGTGCCCAGATATTTGAAGCTGGGATGCAAGCTCAAACCTATAATCCAAACTACTCAGGAGGCAGAAGGTGGGAGGATCACAGTTTGAGACCAATTCAGGCAAAATTCATAAGGCCTCATCTCAACCAATGGATGGATGTGGTGGCACACACCTGTCATTTATCCCAGCTGAACAGAAAAGCACAGATAGGAAGATCATGATCCAGGCTGGCCTGGCTGTAAAAGTGAGACCCTATCTCAAAAGTAACCAATGCGAAAAGGGCTGGAGGTCTGGCTTAAGTTGTAGAATTCCTGCTTAGCCAGCACAAAACCCTGAGTTCAAACTCCAGTACTGATGAAAATAAATATTCTCAGAGTTTCTGTGATGCTATTTAGATGAGATTAACATTTAAGTAAGTAAACACTGAGCAGAACAGATTACCTGCCTCATCTGATTAACTGAAGAACTAGAAGACTGAGGCTCTGGAGGAGGAAGGACCCTGCCTCCACTTGGCTTTTGGATTTAGTGTAACAGACTTCATGAAGCTCCAGTCTGCTCTGCAGGACTCTGACTCTGCAGGCCCTGTGACTAAGTGAGCAGACTCCTCAAGGTTTCTCTCCTCATATACATGAACACATTTGTAGGCATTCAATACACATATGCAACCCTACTGGGACTGTTTCTTTGCACAGCCCTAACATGCAAGGGACCAATGGGAGGCTGCCATTACCTCTTTCAAAGTCATGCTATTCTCATTACTGTTGGTGGTGTGCCTATGACATGTCATCAAATCACCAGGGGACTGAGATGTGCTGAGAGGCAAGCTGTACGCCCTAGACTGAACACATACTGGCTATGGAACGCACCCTCCTCCAACCGCAGACACTACGGGCCCTTTTCATAGGCCCAGAACCAATTCACTGCCGCTAGCTCAGCTGCAGAGTGGAGTCCCTTGAGGCTGTCAAGGGCACTTCAGAGCGTACACCTTCAGGTGGCCCGTTAAACTCAACCACAGCTGGTCACCAGAGATTCACGTCTGTAACCCTAGCTACTTGGGAGACTGAGATTGGGAGAATGGCAGTTTGAGGCCAGCCTGGACAAATAATTCACAAGACTCCATCTCCAAAATAATGAGAAAAATGGACAGGAGGTGTGGCTCAAAGCACCTGCTTTGCAAGCTTGAAGCCTCAAGTTTAGACTCCAGTCCCACCACAAAAAAAAAAAAAGAACCATAGCTCAAACACAAGCACAAAGGCAGCAGCAGTCAAGATTCCACCTTTTCAGGTCATGGGAAATAGCACAGCTATACCCACCTCAGGCTCATGGTCCTCTGGACAAGGACATAGCCTCTGTTCTTGGCTCTTCCTGACGTGATGGATGCTGAGCTTGGCCAGTTGTTTGGTTGGCCCTAGGATGTGGGTTCAGGACATGAGGTCTGAGGACCTAATTGTCTGGCCTAGAAGTCCTGTGGCCAACATCATCACTCCTGACCCCACAGTCTCATATAAGAGGTTTCTCCTCAGCCCTAGTCGTGTGTGCTTTCCACCCCGCGCAGCAGAAGAACAAAGGAGCCGCACTGACAGGGCTTAGGAAGAGACCTGGGGCCCAGTGCAGGCAGGAGAGCCTCCCCACTTGGGTGGCTCTGCTTGGCCTACCATGTGAGGAAGAGGAGCTGTGCTGACCTTCACCCCTGAAGGTGCACACACATAGCAGTGTCTGAGAAGCACCAACCCAGGAGACAAGGTCACTACTGTGGCTTCAATGCACTGAGAGTATACCAGCATAGACAGGGGATTAGGGTGCAAAGATTCTGCTCTCACAAGTGGACTAATGCCATTAGAACGGGAGTAGGTTCATTATAAAAAAGCTTACACCCCTGCCTTCTCCCACAAAACTCCTTCAACACATGTCAATGCTACATGAAGGCCTTTGCCTTCTTCATACTGGGCCTTCCATCCTTCACAGCTCTAGACCAATAAATTCCAGTTCACTACGAAATTACCCAGTGTCAGAGGTGCTGTTGCAGTACCACAAATAGACTAAAACAGACACCTAACAGAGGAGCCTAACTCTCAACAGTGCAGTTGGTAACATGAAATGACACAGACCAAAGAAATGGAAAGGTCTTTGAAACATATGTGCATCTCTCAGCCCTCCCCTCAGAGCAGGCTGTCTCTGGGAGCCCACACCACAGCAGCAGGGGTGCACATGTAAGCCTGAAAAGGCAGTGACATCTCAGCAGAGTGCAGGGAGGTACAGAGCACAAAGGGAGGCTGGAGAGTAAGCTGCTTGAGACTAAGATTCCTGAGCTGCAGCATGCATGGACATCAGCCCCACAGGACCAGGGCCAGGCTAAATGTGACCCTCATAGGAATGATGACCAGTGGTTGCTGAAATTGGCTCCTCTGACTCAGTGTGCAGGAGTAACAGCAAGTTGGACAAGAGGCTGCTGTGGTGATGGCTGCAGGCCACATGCATTTCTGGGGTCCACGTGTACTCTTAGGAGACACTGACCTCTATCTCATCCGTCATCTTAAAAAGCTCATTAAAGTCAGCTGCCAGAGGCTGATGTCTATAAATCCCAGCTACTCAGGAGGCAGAGAGCAGGAGAATTATGGTTTAAAACCAGCCATGGGCAAGTAGTTTATAAGACCCTGAAAAAACCCATCAGAAAAAAAGGCTGCAGAGTGGCTCAAGTGGTAGAGCACCTGCCTATCAAGTGTGAGGTCCTGAGTTCAAACCACAGTGCCACAAAAAAAAAAAAAGGCTCATTAAAGCCAGCCACCCATGACTCACACCTGTAACCCTAGCTATTTGGGAGGCAGAGACTGGGAGGATCAAGGCTCAAGGCCAGCCCAGGCAAAAGTTTGTGAGACCCTCATGTTGATCAATAGCTGGGAGCAATGGCATGTGCCTGTCATCCAATATCATGGGAAGCAAAACTAGGAGGAATGTTGTTCAGGCAAAAAGTGAGCAGCTATCTCAAAAATAACCAGAGCAGGGGCTGGTGGAGTAGCTCAAGTGGTACCAGAGTGCTGTCTAGCAACTGTGAGGCCCTCAGTTCAAATCCCAGTACTGCTAAGGCCTTGGGTTTAATCCTCAGCACCAACCAACAAGATGTAAGGCTCCAATTTGCACTGGAGCCATATGGCACCAGACAGGACCACTTGAATAAGTAAATGCACTGAAGAGAGGCAGCCTGTGGGTCTCCTGAGCACACACCCATTCCTAGCTACTGGGTGCCCAGGCCCTCCTACTATATGGATGGCATGAAATCATGAGTGCTTGTGCTGCTACTGCCCTCATGCTGACAGCTTTCTAACAATGTAAAAGCTTCAAGTACAGGGAGTCCACCCCAAGCTCTCAAATGTGAGGAATTTTATATGTCATGTTAGCAGGCACAGGGCTACTGGAAGGATTTCCTTCTACAAAATAGAATTTGAAGCTAAGTGAACTAAAGAGAAAGGCTATGTGGAATAAAGCTAACTGAACCCATGGTATGTATACCCAGACACTCTGGTCCTGTTCAGATGCCCACACTGGTGTTGTACGCAACACCAACCTGACCAAAATGCCAGCAGGCTTCTAAAATTCATGTGGAAAAGGCCCAGAACACCCACAACCATTTTAAAAAAGAACAGAGTTGGAGGACTGACACATGCTGAGTAGAAGACTTCTGAGAAAGTCTAGAAGCCAAGGCAGTGAGGGAGTGCTGCTCTAAGACAGACCCACATGGGCTGCAAGGAGCATCCTGAAGATAGACAAGTACAGTCATATGGACTTCACACAGGTACTGGACAAGGTCAGGGGTGCTCAAGTCCTGATCCGACCTCCAAGGTGCTTCCTAAGCAAACATGACAACACAGGGAGGAAGCAGGGATGGAGAAGGAGCCAGGGACACAGGGAACAGGTACCAGACAGAAGGCTTGAGGCTTCTCTGGGAGGGAGAGTTGGGCTGCTCAAGGCAAAGCAGAACCTGTGGGGCTGGACAGGTCTTTTCAGCCTGACTTGAAAAAACTGGTCCTGGGCTTCTGGTGCTCCAATCTGGGCATGTGGCCCTCCAGTTGCTGTCAGTCTGTGGCCTAGCTGTGGGGGACAAACTGGTCTCCAATTCTTATGGGCAGTGAGGGACTACCAGAGGAGGCCATACCACAGAGACCAATTTTGCAATTACGACTAACTATTCTCCTTTCAAAAAAACACCTGAGCTCTAGGTGTCCACCTGTGCAAACTATGGCCACACAATTTGTGCTGATCTACACCTGGGATGAGTGGTGAGAAGACATCCAAATCACAGGAACCAGTTCCATCTTTATGGGATCAGAGAAGAAAAATGACAGTGATCAATCCTACTGATCAATAGCTACCACAAAAAGAAACCTAGCTCAAATACAAGGACTGGAGCAAGTAACTGGAACACTGAAATCCATGGACCACTCATCATGTGATTCTCTCATATGCCCTGTGAGGCAGGAAAGGGAAGCTTAGAGGAGAGCTAACCTATGACCCATGTGCACAGATTGGCACATGATATGAGGGAAAGAAGTAAAAATGCTCCACTAACAATAGTCTGGCCCTGCTCACCACACCTCCCTCAGGAGGAACTCCCTTGTCACTGGCCACAGTGACCCCAAAGCTCTCCCCAAATTGGTAACAACTGGGCCAATCCTATACCACAGCCTGCTGATGCACTGCAGGCTGGTCCTGTGCTTCCTGTGTGTACCCTGAGCTGCACTCCCTCCAGGAGCCCACGGACACTGACACATCCAGCTGCAACTGACAGATGCATTTCCTGCTCCAGGCCCAACATCAACGGCTACAGGATATGTTTGCTGCCTACACAAATGGGCCGGTGTCCAGAACTGAGCAACAAAACACAGACACAGGTTAGTTCCAATGAGCCACTAGTCACAGCACTTTACATAATCTAGTCTTACTTGTGTTTCTGGTTAAAAACACCTTATTTAATGCACACTGACACTTCACTCATATTAAACTAACAGCCAACACACCACACCTCACACCTGAATGGAGCTCGTGTAACGTGTGTGTTTTCTGAGAGACCTCACAGTCTCCTGTACTGAGGCTCACAGGACCACTTCAGCAAAGCACTTGGACCATTTTAAACAGTAAAACCTCCAACAAAAGCACAAAAACCCCAAAAGATGTGGCAAAAATAGAGTACCAAAGCGCATGTATTCATACTGCAGTGCTACACCTCAGCTGAGATTCAAATATTTTGCAGCTTTGTGCATGCCTGTCCACCAATGAATGACCAAAAGCCACTGTGAGTATTGGTTTTGGGGTTACAAATGAACTTTAGTGTGTAGTATGGAATATGAATAGGCAGCAGGCAGAGAGGTGCAGCCACTCATCTGAAGTGACACAGCAGATAGTGGCAGAGGCAGAATTGGTCCCAGCTTGCCCCTGGGGCTAGGCTGAGGGCAGATATCCTGGCTACAGCCTCTCTACATGGTCTCACTGACCCCTCCTCTCACCCTAGGGGAGCCTGAATTCCCTCCTACACCCAGCAGTCAAAGGACACCCCAGGCAAACAGCCCTGCCAGCCAAGCAGACACTCTGTTCCGCCTAATGCCCAATGCAAATGATTCCTGGAGAGCTGGAGCCCACAGAAACACTGGGATAAGTCACCACAGTATGAAGCACACAGTCTACCCATGACTCCACTCATGCAAATAGAGCCCTAACTGCACCATCCATGCCACAGAACCCGTCAGGGGCCTAGATGGATACAAGCAGGGCCATACCTTCCAAGGACTCCCTCACAAGCAGCACAAGTTGGGAGGGATGGGGGCTGCATCCTCCTATAAGAGGCTCCACAGTGTGGTGAGCACTCTCCAGAACAATGAACACTGGCATGGACCCCTCAGAGATACTGGGGAACCAGGAGGTCAGCAGCCTTCTTGCTCTCCCTCCCCCCAAGGCAGAAGGCCAGGCCCCAAAGTCTCAGGAAAGACCTGAGTGCCTGTGACCACAGAAGGACCAGAAGGAAAGCCTAGGAGGGGTCAGACCATAAGAGGACCTGTGAGCAGCCCCAGGATCTGCAGCAAGAGGCTCCACCACAGACTGGACTTGGAAAGGTGCCTCTGCCTGGACCACGGTCCCCCTGCAGCTCAACACTCTGAGGTGCCCATGGTTACAGCACCTTAGGCCCATGAGCAAAGCCTGGCACAAGTGTGTGCTCTGAAGGAAAACTCACAGGGAGCTGGGCACAGTGGCTCACGCCTATAATCCAGGAGGATAGAAGCAGAAGTTTGAGGCCAGACCAGGCAAACAAAAACTTGAGTGTGGTGATGCATGCTTGACATCTCAATTATGTGGGAGGTGTAAACAAGAGGATCATGGTCCAGGCCAACCTGGGCAAAAAGTCAAGATCCAATCTGAAAAAGAGCTAAAGCTGAACAGGCTGAGGGCATGGCTCAAGTGGTAGAGTATCTGCCTAGCAAGTGGGAGTTCCTGAGTTCAAACCCCAGTACCAACAAACGAACAAACATATACACACCCCTCACAGGGGCACATCCAGGAGTTCCATGATAGAGTCCAGGTTACCAAGGAGTAACTCAGAGTTAGAGGACACCAGGACACAGAACATGTTGAGGGTTGCTTGGAGAGCCACTAACACAGGGTATCCAGAGGGAAAAAGCTTCCCTGCTCCACTTGCCCCAACACAGGCTGCAGCAACTTAAAAGACACTCTAGCCCATGCTGAGCAAAAGAAAATGAGGTTTCTGTGCTTACTTTTCAGTGTAAGAAGTTGAAACATTAAAATTACCTTGGGGGGGCTGAAGGTATGGTTCAAGTGCTTGAGCATCTGCCTAGTAACCACAAAGCCCTGAGTTCAAACCCCAGTACTGCCAAAAAAAAAAAAAAATAAGACAACTTGTAAGAGACAACAGAATGAAGCACATAAGAAGGGAAGGAAAAATTCCAGGCTGCTACTTCAAAAGTACTCAGAATTCCTAAAAATGCTACACATAAGAGAAGGAGCTCAGACCCCAGTCTTTAAATTCATTTAGCAGATTTAAAATAGCTGGAAGAAACACTTCTCAAACATAAAGTATGAGATTATTATCAATGTCACAAAAGGACAGACTAAGCTGGGCATGACAGTATAAGCCTATGATCCCAGGAAGATTTCAAGTTCAAGGCCAGTATGGGCTATATATCACCAAAAAGAGAGAGAGAGAGAGAGAGAGAGAGAGAAAGACAAACTCTAAACTAATCTTTGGAAAGTAAAGAGACTAATAAATAGCCAGAAATTTCCTAAGAAAGAAAAGCCCCCAGACATGGTCTACCAAATGTTGATTTGTCATTGCTGTTTTGTATTTTGTGGTGCTGGGGATCAGACCAAGGGCCTCACACTAGTAGGGTGCTAGGCAAGCACTCTACTCTGAGCTACATTTATAGGCCTCAACCAGACATATAAGGAACTAACACCAGTCCTCAAATTCTTCCCAAAAAATAGATGAAGAAACACTTCCTGCTTCATTCTAAGAGGTCAGCATCCCCAATACCAAAGCCAGCAGAGACACCATGAGAGTACTACACACCAATATCTTCCATGAACACAAATGCAAAAATCCTCAACTAACCATTTGCCACTAAAATTAAGCACATTAAGGAGTATATACCACAACCAAGTAGGATTTGCCCAAGTGTAGGTCAACATGTAAAGCCAAAGGAATATATTACACTGTTGGGGGTGGGGGGTAAGGGGGGAAGCCAATGATCATCCTACTTGGCACAGAAAAAACATTTGGCAAAATTTGGCATCCTTTCAACACACTCAGCACACTAGGAATAGAAGAAAAACTCCTCATTATAATGAAGTCCACATGAAAAGCCCACAACTACTAGAAGTCTCAAGAACAAAGACATCTGTCCTAAGACTTCTGTGTTCCTCACTGTTCAGCACTGGACTGCAAGGTGTAGCTAGAGTAATTAGAAGTAAAAGCATGTAATAGGAGAGGAAGAAGCCAGGCGCAGTGGTCATCACTAAGTCCCAGCTACCTAGAAGGCTACAGATCAAACCCAGGGACTTGAACATGAGGCAAGCACTCTGCACTGAGCTAGAACCCATCTTGAAAATACCTTTGTAAGGTCCCAGTGCTAGCTTGGTGCCAGTGACTCACACCTATAATCCTAGCAACTTGGGAGGCTGAGATTGGATCACAGTTCAAGGCCAACTGGGGCAAACAGTATTATAAGACCCCATCTCCAAAATAATGAAAGCAAAATGGACTGGAGGTGTGGCTCAAGTGGTAAAGCACTTGCTTTCCAAGTGTGAGGCCCTGAGTTCAAAACACAGTCCCACCAAAAAGGAAAAAAAAAAAAAAAGAGGAACCAGCCTCAAGGACCCCACACCCCTAAGTGGACTGAACAGAACAGCCAGCCAGGATGGCCTCTTTAACTCACTCAGCTCTATAGGACAAGGACAAGGCAAGTTGCCTGGTATGAGCAAAGAGGTTTTGACTCATCTACTTGTCCCTCTCAAAACACTGGCAGAGTTTATTACATCCCTGGATCTCCAAAGGGCTTTCAGTACAAAGCGCACAGAAGAAAGAGCAGGATTCCCTACCTACACTTTCTTCAAACTTTTCAGAAACCGTCAAATGTAAACAAGACTGCCATGCAAAGAATGGCGGCACTAGACAGATGACTCCAGCACAACACAAGGACATTCACAAGCGATGTTCCATCACCTAAACTTCAGATTGCCCCTAGGCTATAGCCAGTCATCTACAAAAGGCAAACATATTTTCATCTCCATGTGTGGGAAGCTCTTCTCTTCTCAGGTGGGTCCTGTAATGGGAGCCCAGGACAGCCAATTCTCAGCAGTTCCTAGTTCTCCTGCAGTTATCACTGCAGTGCCTACTTCTTAGAAACACAAACATGGTGGGGTAGGTAAGGGAGGGGGTGGGGAGAAGGGGAGAGAAATGACCCAAACATTGTGTGCACATATGAATAAAAGAGAAAAAGAAAAAAAAAAAGAAACACAAACATTTCTACACACACAAACCAAAGTTTGTGACAACCACAACACGGAATGTTAGCCACCTTCCATGGATTAGGGACATCTGTTCCTGGCCTCAGGGCCCAGCTAGCCAATGAGGGACATGGCAATCAGAGTTTCTTACCATTGTTCACCTGGCTGTGCACTGCAGTGGGGACTGGTGCCACATGAGTCCCATTCTGCGTTACAGTTCTTATTGGAAGCTGGTGCTGACCTAGAGGTGCCTGCTGTACTATGGTGACTGTCTGGACAGGGGTGCCCTGTGATGCCTGGATGATTCGGCTGCGGTGCCTAGTGCAGCATGGGTAATTGTGGGAACAGGCTCTACTTTCACTGAAATTAAAAGAGAGGGAAAAGAGACAGTACAACAATTAGTATTATTGGAAAGCTGATTTAAAAAAAAAAATCTCACCTGTTTAAAAACCCAAAAAATCACCTGGTTCTGAGACCTGCTATACAACTTTTAATACCAAGTTACACAGGAGCTTGGGGATGTTGCTCAGTGGTAGAGGGCTTGCCTAGAGTGTACAAGGCCCTGGGTTCACCCTAGCACTGTCCAAAAATAAACCGAAACACCATAAAGTACCATAAAAAAGCAACACTCTCCCCCGCACTCCACTCCCAAAGGAGCCCATGAGAACAACCTTGTGTACTGCTAAGATTGAAAAGCTGACAGGAACCACTTCTCCCTTGCTCACCTTTGACTTCCCTGTGGTCTCCATTCTCTTGTGGTTCAGCCTTAGGAGGAGCCAGCACTGCCGCCTGAGTAACCACGGCTTGTCCAGCAACTGTGTACGTGTTTGCTGGGGCCAGTCCAGCCACACTAGTGACTGACACCGCTGGTATCTGGTGGACAACATGAACTGTCTGCACGACAGGTGGCTGGGAGGTGGAGGTGGTCACTGGGGTCGCAACAGTGTAGGTGACAGGCTTAATTGCTGGGGGTAGCTGCCGCTGGACGGTGATTAAGACAGGCTGACTAGAGAGAGGTGAACCTGTTGGGAGGAAGACAAAAATGGGCTGAGGCTTGGCTCACGAGCCCTTTATTTTTACAAATTTTCCCCACACTAAAGCACTTATTAACAACATGAAAATTTTAGTCTAAAACACAGGAGGTGGCCCTATTTCACCTTACAAGTAAAGTTAGTAATAGAAATAGTGATAGAAATGTAACCTATCAGTAGGAGTTTCCTGTACCTCACTGGTAAAAACACAGTCTCTGGTCCACCTAGATTTTTGTTAACACCCTTCTCTTGGTTCTCCCCTCATAACAATGTCAACACAAAGACAGGCAGGAGCTACCCTTGAGTGCAAAGGCAGGGCCATTCTCACCAGAATCTACGATTTCATCCTGGTGGAAAGGATGCGCCAAGTTCAAAAGCAGACTTGGCTGTCTTAAGGCCTATGCTAGCCAGGTGCCAGTGCCTCACGCCTGTAATCCTAGCTATTTGGAGGCTAGTGCTTCAAGGCCAGTCTGGGAAAATAGTTCACAAGACCCCATCTCCAAAATAACCACAGCAAAATGGAATGGAAGTGTGGCTCAAGCATCAGAGCACCTGCTTTGTGAGCATGAAGCCCCGAGTTCAAACCCACTCTCATTTTAAAAAAAAAAAGGCCTTTGCCCTTTGGTTTTAGGGTTTACACTAGAGAAACATAGGTGTCAGGTGCTGTTGACAGGGCATCAGGGAGTGGTGTTCTCTGGTCCAGCAGGGCCACAATTCCAAGTGGTCAAAATGCACATTTTCCCACCATATATTTGTTTTTTAATTCCCCAAAGCACATTTTATTCTGTATTATGGATTTGTAAATAAACTGCAGTGTCTACTTATTCACTAAATGTACATATTTTTGCTTCCAATCAGTGCCTCAGCTTTGTCTAATTCACAGATTTTGTGGAGATGTTTCTCTTGAATTTTTGAACGATGAAGCAAGTTACTTCTACATTCTTTCAGGCATCTAAAATGTCATTTAAAGAACATTCATGTTTTTACACATTCCTAGTGCTGCTGGTTTTCTGAATCCTCCAAAAGAACCCTCAGTATTGTGAGAAAGTATAAAGGCCCCATTGCTGACTCTCACCTGCTCTCCTGCCCTGACTCACCTGGTGCACTCTGGGCAAAACGTGCCTCCTGGATGACAGCAAGTTTGGGCTGTGAGCCACCAGGCTCAGGTTCCAGGGGGGCTGGTGACCCTTCCCTCGACAGGCTCTCGGGGGTCTGGGCACCACTGGAATGAGCAGACAGCACTCCTGTGTGGTTGGGAGAAGCTGGGGCACTCCTGGGTCACCAAAAGAAGACATGGGTTTTTACAGTGATGCACTCAGAAAGGGAGTGTCGTTTTGTTAGGTTCACTTTGAAAAGGGTTAGTGTCCTTTGTATTCTGCTAACCGATTGCAGTTCCAGGAGTATGACTTTCTCTGTCTCTCCATGAACTGAGCTGGGTACTCAGTGAGGCCTGGGCAGCCAGAGGCAGCACCACCTCATGCCCATCAAAGAGAAGAAGGCAGTGAGATGGGGCTGGCACCCCCAAGATGCTCCTGTGCAGTCAGACACAGAAGCCAGCAGTAAGTGAGCAGGCAGGGGCTTAAGGCTTATGCCATGCTCACTTCTTTTTTGGAAGGTCCTTCATTTTTGAAGGACCACCAGCATACTGAAGGTGAAGGTGCATTGCTTGGCCATGATGAGGTCCTGCAGCTCTTCGTCTCCTTACCTAGAGGACAGTGGCCCCAAAGGGGTTCTGAAGCAGGGCACGCCCCGAGGCCGCCGTTTTCTGAATGCCTGCTCCACCAGTTTGCTCTCAGAGGCAGGGTCTATCTTCCAAAAGGAGCCTTTGCCTGGTTCTTCCTGGGAACGCGGCACTTTGATGAAGTAACGGTTCAGAGAGAGATTGTGGCGGATTGAATTCTATGGAATGTAAGAAATACATAGAATTCATATAAATCTTTGCTGAGAAATAGAAACATGCTCAAGTTTAGTGCCCTGCAAAGCAGAAAGCTTGATGTTTGACTACAGAGGTAAGAGTGACATTGAGAGACAGCACTGTGCTTGAAGGAAACAGGCCCTCCCGGTGAGCAACTCAGGGAGGAATTCTGTGAAGAATCAGCTCTGGAGTTTAATCCTTCAGCTGGTCACACAGCTCAGGTGGGCACTGAGGAGTGGGGAGGAATGAGGAATCTGCACAACACGAAAAGTAGCCATTTCCAACTTTCATCTCCTTCAACCAGGAAACCAAGGCCTATTATTGCTATCACTCGACCTTTTCCAGGTAGACCTCTGCCAACTCTTCCTGTTTGGAGACAGAGATGACATGAGCCAAAATGCTGGTGTGTATCTGTAACCTCAGCACTTGGGATGCTAAAGCAGGAGGATCCCAAGTTCAAGGCCAGCTTAGGCTACACGGCAAGACCCTGTTTCAAAAAAAAAAAAAAAAAAAAGACTGAGCTACTCCTTTAATTTTTTTTTTTGGCAAACAACCAGCTTACAGAATCTGCCATGCCAGTTACAGTAAATTAATCTAGTATAAGGTATTTAGCAAACCAGCAAAGGCTGAGTTATGACTGAATGACTAATACCATTTTCCAGTAATAGACACTTTGCTCTGGATTTGCAAGGAATCTATTTTTATCTGATCCCCACAACCCCATAAGGCAAACAGGGAAAATGTTCTCAACTCTTACTCCATCATTCTTTCTTCTTGAAAAGCCAGCTACAGGTTTTCTAAGGGTCTAAGGAAAGCTTTTCACTGTGATCCAACTGAAGCCATACCATTGAGGTCTAAGTGAGATTAAAGTCACAGATTAATATCAACATCTCATGTTTTTACATTAATGAGATTTTAAAATCAAATGGTTTCAAAGTGGTAATAACTCAAAATAAAATTTGGGGCTACCCAAAAATCATTTTTAAATTCCCCATTGACCTTGTCCTAAAACCACTAGCTATTGCCTGAAATTATGAACTGTCAAAGGCAGCTAAGAAATCCAACACATGTCAAACATTACCTACCCCAATTTCAGGATGTCCTACTCCTAACCCGACACAGGACACAATTAGGCCTTTGACTCCTGTGAACCTGAGGTGTGTCAAAAGCAGCTCCAAGGGGCAAGCCTGGCTGTGTCTGACTCTCACAGTCATTCACAAAGGAATTCATTGAGATTTAAGACATTTTACTAAATAAAGATACATTTATGGTTCTTTATTACCAGATATGGCTAACAACCAAACTTTCTTTCAATTCTTCCAGAAACTCAAAACATCAAAAAAGAGACGGTGAACCTTCTCCAACTACACTCAGATTTTTCAGGTTTGGAGGAAAGGCAGATTCAAAAATTGTCAGTTAAGGAAAGCAATTCCAGACCATGTAATACAGGATGAACATCCTTAATCCGAAATCTTCCAAAATCTGAACCATTCTGAGTGCTGACATGGAAAATTCCACACCTACCCTCATGTGCGAGCTTCAGTCAAAAGCAGACACAGCAAAGACGTTATATAAAATCACCCTCAGGCTGTGTGTATGAGGTATATGGGAAACGTCAATGCTTTCCATGTTCAGACACGGCTCCTTTCCCTAAAACATCTTGTTATATATAGGCAAATATTCCAAAATCAGAAAAAAATCTGAAACCTAAAACATGTTAAGTCAAGCTAAGTAAGACACTACCTATGAAAAAGGCAATCCTCACAGCTGCCTAAGTGGTCAGTAGACCCTCCCACTGCACTGTCAGCACCTCAGCAGGAGCTTGGAACTCAGGCCCCACACTCAGCAGGAAGCTCTCCACAGTCCCGAAGTGTAGACTGTAGCTGCACTGACTGCAGTAATTTGATTTGCACGCTATTATGAGAGAAAAGGACCACATAGTGGAAATGTGCAAGCAGGAAATGTCACTCCAGGGAACTAGGTTTCCTATCTATAGGATAAAGAATTAGGGATCAGAAAACTGCTGCTCTGCTACCACTAATGTCACTGTCATTCAACGCACAGGAAGATGCTACTTTCTGTTTTGACAACATAACAGGATTCAGCCTGCCTTGTTGTAATAGGATCTGAACTTTTCTCTAATTACCCTAGCAACCAGAACCTATGAGCAAAATGAGTTCAAATTTATAAATGACCACCTGTGGTTTCCCAGCCAACAAGACTAGAAAATAGGAGGAAGTGATGAGATATTCCATGTAGATATGACACAGAAAAGTACCTGCTTCCAAGGTAATGAAAAGCATACTAAATTCAGAGGCATTTCTCATTACCCATTAAGGTTACTTGGTTAAACTCAGGGTGAGTGTTTCTTCATTCTGTCCGTACATATTAAATCACAATTACTGCACTCTGATAATCTAGAGATCAACACAAAGTTTTCAATGAAAAAGGGGGATGTTATTCTTTAATCCAAATATGAAGAGAAGACCTGAAATGCTGAACAAATTCTCTTTGCCCAGAGCCTCTTCTAATGGGCTGCTGTCCAAGATCCATTCCTGACCCCTGGCTCCCACTGCTGAGGGGACCTCTAGCTCTGCACCTTTCTGTGCATCCGGCCTTCTTGGCCAGAGCCTACATTTCTCAGGGGAGTGTTTGTCTTTCTGTCTATCTGCCTATTTAGTCCCACCCAGCACTCTACTCTGTAGTGTGTACTAGGCACAGGAAGGATCTGTAAAAAAAATTTTAAGTTTTTTTACAAATATATCAAGGTGTAAGAATTGCTTCCAGATCAAGGCCAAGGATAAACTGAACATGTCCTCAAACCATCTCTGATCCCTTCAAAGGCCAAGAGCCTAGCCTTTTCAAACTTTTCATAGTTACAACAACCATCTCAATTCTGGGCTGGGTAAAATAATAAGAAATCATTTTGGATGCAGGCATGGTGGTATACACCTGTAATTCCAGCTACTAAGGAAGCTGACACAAGATGGCAAGTTTGAGGCCAATATACAAAACACTCCAAACTCTGACAAAGGGTGGGAAGGAGGGAAGAAGGACTTGTGGCAGAAAAAAATGCAACCCAAAGAAATAAATATGCCAATTTTCCAGATAGTTTCTCAGACTGTCTCATTTTTCCTAGAATTTCTTCTATAGATTAACCAAAGAATTCTTCCATGGACAGATCCTGTAAAACCCAAGCTGCTAAGAGGCAGCTGTGGGCCCTAGGGCTTGAGGAGGGCATGGTGAGCATTTGCATACTCTCTTGTGGAACTAGAGCTGGCCCCATCCAGGAGAAAAGTTCCATACCACAGCCCCACAGCCCACTGCTGATTAGGACACAGCCAGAATCGCACATTTCTTAAATAGGCTGCTCTGTTGGGAGTTTTTAATTTTTCTCTTAAAAGAAAAGGAATGCGGCATTTTGAAAAAATAAATAAATAAATAAAGTTACTGGATATCAGGAGGATAACAGCTTGAGGCCAGCCAAGGCAAAAAAGTAAGCAAGACTCCATTTCAACTAACAAGCCAGGAGTGATGGCATGAGCCTATAGTCCCAGCTACTGGGAGGCAGAGGTGGGAGAACTGGGTCCAAGGCTGGCCCAGGCAAAAATGTGAGACCTTTTCTGAAAAATAACTGAAGCAAAAAAAGAGTAGGGGTGCAGTTCAAGTGGCAGAATAAGCATGAGACCCTGGGTTCAAATGCTATACTGACAAAAACACAAACAAAAAACCCCCCAAACTTGTGCAAGGCGTGGTAGTACACATCTGTAAGCCCAGAACTCAGGAGGCAGAGGCAGGAAGATCATGAGTTTGAAACCAACCTGGACTACAAAGTGAGACCCTGTCTTTTTTATTTTTTTGGTGATACTGGAGTTTGAACTCAGGGCTTTGCACTTACTAGACCGTGCAGGTGTTCCCCCCACACATCAAAACAAAACAACCCCTCCAAAATCCACAAAGTTGCAAATGGATAATGTTTTTGATATAAGCCAGGAGAACAAACAAACCAACAAAAAAATAGAGTGACATTCCTGCATAAGCCAGGAGAAGTCAGAATGATGTCTGACACAGAGGCTTTAAATGCCATAGCTCTGGGAAGGGCAGGTGAGATCTCCTCATAGGAAAGAAGCATGTGAGGGTCAGTATTCCAAAGCTAAGGACACAGCTGAGGACAGCAACAAGTTCAGAGTTAAAGGAGACGTGGAATAGGGCCCTCTTCCACTAGACTGTCTGCAGCCAGGAATCAGAGGTCATGTCCAGATGCCTATGACCCAGGCTGCCTGTCCTGGAGTGCTCGATCACCAAAAGGTTCCTCCTAACTCCAGTCCCAAGAGACTGAGGCCACAGCTGAGTAAAATTCTTGAATCAATGCATGAAAGAATAACACAGAAACACAATCAAACACATAAAAGTCTACTCAAGCTTTCAGAAAAAGAAATGTCCACAAACCCTGGGGAACCGGCATTTCAGATCATCAGAATGTTGCATGTAAAAAGCTGCACTTACCCCAGGCGACTCTCACACACTCACACTGTGTGACTGTGCTCCATGGGGAGCTTCTCTGCTTGACAGAGCCAAGGCCAGCAGAATATGGATATAAATTCTACTGGTTCTTTTTCTTCTATGCAGTATGTTTGGTCTTGAGCCTGTAGGTACAAGCTGGCCCCAGATCTCCCAAATCCACATTTCTTTGCCTCCAATTCTTACATGTTCAAAGATACTTTGTTCTTTAATTATGTATTTTTGTGTTGTTCTTTTTGTTGGTATTATACTTTAAGTACGACTTCACCGATTCACTCTTATTGATTAAAATATGTTATATATAGCTGGCATGTATTGTGCACGTTGTTAAAAGCCCCTGCCATGGAGCTGGATATGGGGCTAGTCTCCAATCTAGTGTTTACGTGTTAACCAAGAAACACAGCCTGTGATCAGGGAGGTGAGCAGGGAACAGAAGACCCCAGAAAAGTAAGGAGGCACCAGGGAGAAGGGGTCTTATTTTCCACTAATAAAGGCATTGAGCCCCTTAAAAGAAAACACTGAAGCCAGGCACTGGTGGCTCACGCCTGTAATCCTACTGAGGATGTAGAGATCAGAAGATTGTGGTTCAAAGCCAGCCTGGGCATCACAGTTCAAAAGAGACCCTATCTTGAAAAAACCCTTCACAAAAAAGGGATGCTAGAGGGGCTGGGATGTAGCTCGGTAGCTCGGTGGTACAGCACTTGCCTAGCATGCGTGAGGCCCTGGGTTTGATCCCAGCACCAAAAAAAGAAAAGACAAAATAAAAAAAAAAAAAAAAAAAAAAAAAAAGGGATGCTAGAGTGGCTCAAGATGTAGGCCCTGAGTCCAAACTCCAGTCCACAAAAGAAAAAAGAAAAGAAAACATTGGGGTGTGGATGGTAGACTATTATGTTTTTATTATAATGTTTATACACCTACACTTAAAAATTTAGTTTTTTCCTTAAAGTTATCCCACCCACATTACTAAGCTATAGGATTCATCAGCACATTTTTAAAGGATCATTTACTCATTAACCAAAGCCTCAAAGGAATTCTGCAGCCATTCCTGGTTACTTAAAGAACTCAAAAATCACAATCATACATTCTGTCTCTTTTATTATGTTTTTAATATTCTATATTCCAAACTTAACCTTTTCCAAATCACCTCAACTAGTGAGGTTTTACTGTATAATCAGCGAATGGCTACAGAGAACACAGATACCCAGGACAAAAAACTATACAAAGTGAAGGTTTAAAAATTATTGGTACACAGTGGGCCGGAGGCATGGCCTAAGTGGTAGAGTGCCTGGCTAGTAATTGGGAAGCCCTGAGTTCAAATCCTAGTATCACCAAAAAAAAAAAAAACATTGTGAGTATACAAGGGAATGAGTAAACAACGAGAATACTATGCACTGATTTCCACGTGTTCTATAGGAAGGGGCTGGAGATGTGGGTACATGAGCTGGTAGGCTCCCCATTTTAAATTAGGCATACCCATTTATCTATTTTATATACTGGCTGACAAGAGATGTCTTGAAAATAGTTTCAAAACTGTGTGCAATAAGACACCTCAAAAACTAGATAGCACTTGTTGCCCTCAATGCAGAGAAACTAAAGCAGATACTTTAAAGCAACTGAAGCCAATAGGAGAAGGGGACCAGGAACTACAGAAAAGGTGAGATCAAGAAGAATTAACCTAGAAGGTAACACACATGCACAGGAAATCAATGTGAGTCAACTCCCTGTATAGCTATCCTTATCTCAACTAGCAAAAACCCTTGGTCCTTCCTATTTATTGCTTATACTCTCTCTACAACAAAATTAGAGATAAGGGCGAAATAGTTTCTGCCAGGTAGCGAGGGGGTAGGGGGGGATAGGGAGGGGGTGGGGGTGGGGTAAAGGAGGGGGTGGGAGAAGGGGGGAGAAATGACTCAAACATTGTATGCACATAAGAATAAAATAAAAAATTAAAACAAAAAACAAAAAAAACTGTGTGCAAACTTCAAATCTTCTGTACTTCATGAAGCAGATGAGGAAGGCCAAAGAATGCAGAAGTAAAAAACAGGCTAGACTTTAAATTCTTCCCACATTTTATATACATAAAATGAAATGCACTGGCCCAACAGCAGCATCCCAATCAACCCATACCTGTGCTTCCCACAGAGACACAGGCATTTCCAAAGCAATAAAAGCAGTTTTCTTTGAACTGCTGCTCCTTCTGCTCTGCAGAGCAGGGAACATCGGGCCGTGGACCTCTGTTTCAGTCAGTTTTCCTCCTCTTACTCTACTTTTTTAGCCTGCATCTGTTAGAAAAGACAGCTAAATTTCCACTTAGCTCAACCAGCATCTACAAGACACAGGATAGAAATACTTAATAACAAACTGAAATGGATTTACCTGCCAGCCCTTGTCTGCAGTCCTGTAGTATGGATAATTTTTAGTGATGTGTGTATAAATTCCATTTAGGGTGAGTTGTTTATCAGGAGCCATTGTAATTGCTTGTACTATCAATTGTGCATAGGAATAAGGTGGCTTTGAATCATCCTGTATTAAAAAATAAAAAGCATTGAAGTTAGTGTAATTTTTTTTACTAAAATTCAAGATTATTGTCTTAAATGTTCCTGACAGTGTTTTTTTTTTTAATTAGAAAAAAAGGAAAAAGTTCAAAGTAGTATAAAAAAGATTAAAAATCATATAAGAAGAAAACTCCAAATGCTGAAACAAAAACAGAATAAAACTGAGCAAAGATGCTGGAGCTTGGAGTCCAGGAAAATACACATTAAGCACCACCAGACTGAACCTTAGACCTTGTGGCAAAGGACAGGGCAACTGTGGTGAGGAGTAGAGCAAGCAGCAGACCAGGCCTATTCTGATGGTGATCTTCACACACACAGGAGGTTCCTGGAGTGCTCAGGGCAGAAGAGCCCACAGGCCTACTCACCACAGGGGTGAGGCATCCCCAGTCCTGGCTCATTCAGGTTGACTCAGTCATTGTGACAACTCAAAATCCCAAATGCACCAGCATAAGCCACTGGAAAGAGCTCCCAGTGAAGTGACTGGTAAAACAATGTGAATGAACAAAGCAATTTGCAAAAGAATGCATTCAAGATGATACTACTTATACAAAGTTTAAAAATGAACCATCAAAGACACAGTTAACATGCAGGAACAGGGATGCTGATAGTCAGTAAGACCTGGTGTCACAGAAGGGGCCAGGGCTTAGTTTTGGAAGCTGATGGTAGGCACGTAGATGCTTGTTGTCACTCTCCACAGAAAAATGTAACCACATGTAATCTGGCAATTCTGAAGACTCCCACATCCCACATCAAACAGCTAATATTTCCCAAGCATTAGGCCATGCCAGGCTCTGCCCAAACAGGTGCAGTGAGGACCTACAGCTGAGAAGCAACTGAGCTGGAGTCCTTCGCACCAGCACGCACCTGACCACAGAACATAAAGCCTGCATCACTGTGCTAAGGAAGCCAGTATATTTATTTGTGCTTTCTTCCCTACATATCTCTAAAAATGCTTTCATTGAAAAACATTAACATAGAAAAGTTCACAATGCATTCATGTTGGTGAAACAAATTTTGCAAAGTGAACATCAGTAGAGCAGCACTAGTTAAGAGAAGACAAAGGCAGCACTCCAGGTGCTCCTGTGTGGCCCTTTCTCTGAGGCAGAGGCCATGTTACTTCTGGCTTGACAGCCTCGCACTTCTGTGATCTGCTCAGTTCTACCACCTGAGATGGTGCTGTGTGCACATGGTGCACAGCTCTGGCTGATTCACTCCCATGGCTGGAATAAATCCTGTGTGACCATGTCACATTTCGCAGATGTGTAATGGAATACATGTTGTTTTTCTCACTTAGTGCTACATTTTCTTTCAGGAAATATTTCATTCATTTCATTATTGGATTACAATATCTTAATCAATGTCACTTTCAATTTTCTGTTTTATATAAACTTCTGTCCAAAGTCTTGAAAGGGAAATTACTGGTTCAAGTAAGAACATGGAGGGTTTTAGTATGTATATCAACAACTGTTGTTTAGAGAGGGGACTTATGTGCCCTCCCAAATATGTGCAGTTGCATAGCCTTCAGATTTGGGTGGTGGCTAAACTCTAGCACCAGTGTCTAAAAGTGTGTGACACCCACAAAGACCAGGGCATTCTCTGTCCCCTGTTGTCTCCTTGGCTCTCAGAACCTGGGTCCACAACCACCCCAGAGAGATCCTGAGGTGTTGGTTGAATGACTAAAAGAATACGTTTGCAAACCCAACACTGGGAATGTGCCCAGAGAGCACACAAAAATCACACAGATGACCACTTCACTGAGGCACAAGACATGTGCCTCTCAAAAGGTCCCAGTGTGGCTATGACTAGATACACAGGTGACAAGTCAAGACATAACATGTTATGTGGTTACATAACATCCTCAGGTCCTTTGCAGGACTATGAAACACTTACCTTTGGACTGTCTCCACCTGAAGCTTCCTTTTCATGTTCTGGCTGCGAACTGTCGGCCATTAAGTTGAGGTCGGATGGCATCACACGGCCCACTTTGTACCCTGAAGACCCCGCTCCCCGGGGGCTGGATGGGCAGGAGTTTGCAGCACTGTAGAAGGGAAAAAGGTTGCTCCTTTAGTCTGCTGTAGAGCACACAGCCCATCTTTAACAAGTATAGGATACAGGCATGCACAGATGGGAGAAGGTGAGTGGTGGGCTTGGTGAGCTTGGAAAGGCAGACTTGCTCCACCTGTGAGTCACCTGCCATTGGGCTCCCACACACACCCATGACGCCACCGCTAGCTTTCAGTGGCAAAGGTGGGAGTATGGGGGACAAGCAATACACTGACAAACATGAATGGAGAAGAGAGTGAGAGGAGAGTCCAAGCAAGAACCTGATGCAATCCTAAGGTTTCCACTGTATCGCTTAAAGACCACCCCTTCCCTGGGGCATCCTGGCTCATCAATCACACTTGGCCTGCTGTCCTCAGACGGCTGCTCCAGCTCTGTACTATATATGACTAAGGTAAACCTGCACCTTCTCCTTTACATCTATGAACTCGGTGCACTTTTTACATACACTTAATAAGTATTCATGTTGGCTTTTCCTCATCCACTAACACATTCACTACTTAGTCCACCTGGTCATATAAAAATTCAACAAGGTAAGGGCTGGAGGCGTGGCTCCAATGGTAGAGCGCCTGCCTAGGAAGCAAGAAGTCAAGTGTGCCACTTAAGCCACATCCCCAGTAACTCGCAAAAAAAAGTGATGGGCTTAAATAGTATGGATATTAATTCCATCAGGTAACTTGGATTATTTCTCTTACTCTGTACATTGTCTGATTACTCTGTTGACACAGACTTTTGTGCAACAGAAGTTTTAATTTTCACAAAGTCCAATTTGCCTAAGACTTTGGTTCGAAATCCAAGAAAGCATCGCCAAATTCAAATTCAAATGCAATGAAGCTCCTACTCTGTTTTACTGTAAGTTCTAAGTGTCACATGTAGGCTTTTGGTCCACTTTTGAGTTAATTTTTGCACATGGTTTAAGATAAGGACTCAACTTCATTCTCCCACATATGGACATCCAGTTCCCAGCAACACTTGTTAAAAACTGTTTTTCTCCCACTGAATCATCTCAGCACCTTATCAGAACTCACTTGACCACATATGCAAGGTTTATTTCTGGGCTCTATCCTAGTCCAATAGTCTATATGTATGACTTTATGCCATTTTCACACTGTTTTGATTACTGTAGCTTTGTAGTATATTTTGGAATCAGGAAGTGAGTCTTTCACCTTTGTTCTCTTTTTCTTTTTTAGTTTTTTTGAGACAGGGTCATGCTATATAGCCCAGGCTGGTCTTGAACACTCAACCAATCAACTGAGTTGGATTACAAGTGTACACCAGCACGCACAGTCAGCTTTGTTCTTTTTCAAGATTGTTTTGGCTATTTGGAGTCTCCTGAGATTCCAAATAAACCTTCGGATGGATTTTTCTCTCTCTGTAGAAAATATCACTGGAGTTTTATGAGAACTGCTCTGACTCTGGAGATTAATCTGGGTAGAAGTAACATCTTAACAACACTAAGTCTCCCAATCCATGAACACAGAGTGTGTATTTCCCATTTGTTTATGTTTCTTTAATTTCCAGAATGCCTATTTCCACCCCCCCTTACCTTTCTTCTTCTTTTTTTTTGTGGTGCTAGGCATCAAACCCAGGTCCTTGCATATGCTAGGCAAGTGCTCTCCCACTGAGCTGTATCCCTAGCCCTTAGCTTTTTTGAGGTAGGGTCTGGCAAGTTAGGTCAGGCTCACCTTGAACTTGCTATATAGCCCAGGTTGGTCTTAAATTCTCAATCCTTTTCCCTGCCTCTGGGTGCATAGATTATAGATGTATGCTACCAAACCTAGCTCCAGAAGGCCTATTCTTTTCTTCTCTTCCTTCCCTCCCTCCCTTCCTTTTTTGCTAATACTGGAGTTTAAACTCAGGACTTCACACCTGCTAGTAATTGTTCTACCACTTGAGCCACACCCTCAGTCCCAAGAAGGCCTATTCTTCATGATGGTTTTTGAGACAACAAACATCTACTTGAAGTAACCTTGCTCTCCATGTTTCTCTTTTCCTTATATGGACACTGCCTCACTTCATCAGCTTCCAGCCCAACATCTCTGAACACCATGCTTTCAATTAAGTTGCAGAGTTCAGATGGAAAGATAGTTGAAGGTGAGGTAGAAATGGTCAAAAATCCTGTGACCATGTTGGGCTAGGTGCCCATGGCTCATGCCCATAATCCCAGCTACTCAGGAGGCAGAGATCAGGAGGACTGTGGTTTGAAGCTAGCCCAGGAAAATAGTTCTGCAAGACCCTATCTCGAAAAACTCTTCACAAAAATAGGGCTGATGGAGTGAACTCAGGGTAAAGGACCTGAGTTCAAGCTGCAAAAAAGAAAACAAAAAGATGTTTTAAGCCTGAAGCCATCCTGTAATCCTAGCTAATTGGGAGGCAAAGATGAAGAGGACTGTGGTTCAAAGCAAAACAGGGGAAATAGTTCTCAAGATTCTACCTCAAAAATACCCAGTACCATCAAAAAAAAAAAAAAAAAAAAAAAAAAGACACTTTAGAAACAGCTATTTAATGGTATAATCCATAGTTTCCTTTGTGCCCTCTGTCCCTCAGTCACACATCAGGGACACTGCTTCCGAGACAAGAGGACACCCCGCCCCACACCCCACACACACTCTCTGTCAGTCATGCCTGGTTCACAGACCTGGGCAGCAGGTGCCTGACACTGGAGAGACAAGTGCGTCCATGCGTTTGTTTCCCCCAAGGTCAGCCTACATGTCACAAAGATGCACACGTGTCACTCCACTCACAGCCAGCAGAACACAGCGCACTGACCAGGTCTGCACCTGAGCCCCACACCCACAGTCAGATGGAGCTTTGCTGTGACCACTTGCTTCAACTGCCCACTCTAGGAACTACACAAAGACAGTCCGCAGCTCTGTGGCTGTTCTTCCCCATCTGTGACGCTCCTGAGACCCCTACACATACACTGATTCTAAGGCCCACCAAGGCAGAGAATTAGGGCTTGGAGCTGCATTCTCTGCTTCTTAAGGTTTCCATTCTCTCTTAGGACATCACGATGAACAGTACTTGGCCACTTTAATGTAGCCAAACTAAAGTACAAGTTTTAGCATTTTACATGAAACTATTGCAAACAAATTCAAAGTTCAATTTAAAATCTACCTCAGACTTTTCACCAACATTATAATCATCAACTTGTACTCCACTAAAAAGAATTCGTAAGCAAAAACTAGGAACACAATGGTGGTATATGCCTGTAATCCTAGCACTTGAAAGGCTAAGGTAGGAGGACTGCAAGTTCAAGGCCACCCTGAACTATACAGTTCAGGACCCTGACTCAAAAAAATGCCACGTTTGTGAGAATTACATCACACAACATAGAAATTGAAAGTACTCTCCAGAAACTCAAGGGTATTTTAAACACCTTAACATCTAACTCTCCAGGTGGTCAGTCAGGTGAGAGGGGAAGAGTGTCACTTTGGGAGCTGCTGCATGACTAAGGACCTTCGAGTGCCCTATTGCCCCTCCTGTACCTGATGGTTCCCGTGGGGGAGGGGAGGGGACTGATGAGGTGGGCCATGGTATCTGGAATGTTGATGGTCAGGGGCGAGATGTGTGGCTGCACAGGCTTCACTGGTGACTCAGGTGCCTCCTGCTTCTCCCTCTTCTCACTGGACAGGGCAGTGAAAGTAATCTTGATGTTTGTGCTCGGAAACCTGAATGTGCACCTGCAAAAGAAAAGCTGATGGTTAGCGCCAGTCTTCTGCCCCCAGAGTCCCTGAGCATCCCCATAGGCACTGCAAGTGAGAATGCACACCCTCCCACTCACCTGCCATGTCCTAAGAGTCACTTAATAAGCAGAACCATACATGAGGCACTGCAAGACTTTTAAGACACTAGTCAGACCAGGCAAATAGGAAAATAAAAAGTGTAAGCCCTCATAATACAAATGCACTCAATCTGCATTACACCTTGAGGTCTGATAGATTTAAAGAAAGACTTGGAAATGGGAATGTAGCTCAGTGGCACAGTGCTTGTCCAGCATGAACGAGGCTCTGGGTTCCATTTCCAGCACTGCCCCCCACCCCAAAATGTATGTATGAATGACCATGTAAATAAATAAATAAACAAATAAATGACTTGAACACCATTTGGTGTACACCATCCCTTCAGAAAATAAACATACAAGTATATCTGGGTCACTAAGCCATAGACAATTTTGTGGTAGTTTTCTTATTTACAAAGAAAAGTCAGCCAGGTATGGTGGTGCATGACTACAGTCCCAACTACTTGGAAGGCTGAGGTAGGAGAATCACTTGAGTCCACCAGTTCAAGACTAGCCTAGAAAACACAGTGAGAAGAAATAAGGATCCTTTTCTTTTCTTTCCAGTGATGGTACTGGAGTTTGAACTCAAGGATTCAGGAGCTCTACCACCTGAGCCACACCACCAGTCCCTTTTATTATAGTTATTTTTTACTTTAGTTATTTTGGGGACTGTTTATGCCCATGCGCGCCTGGACCTCGGTCCTCTCTATGCTTCTGGTGTAATTGGGATGACAGATGTATGCCACAGTGCCCAGCTTTTTACTGGTTGAGATGGGGGTCTCATTAATTTTTGCCTGGGTTGACCTCGAACCCTGACCATACCAATCTTGGCCTTCCAAGTAGCTGGGATTATTACAGGCATGAGCCACTGCACCTACCCATTCCTTTCCTTTGGAAAAAAAAGAAAACCCTTGTATCACCTTTCTCACTGAGCAAACAAGAGCCAGAGACATTAAGTCACACAAGTAAAGGTTTATAACCTAGCACTCTGGGTTACCTTTAATATTGCTTCCTTGATATGACAATTTAAAAAAAAACAGGTAATGAAGCCAAATACCTTCAAAGGATAAAATTTAAAACAGCCCCAGTCTCTTATGGTCTGAATCTCGATTCTGAGACTAGCTAAACAACACTTCATTCTATGTCTACAAAGGGCCCAGACAATGGTGCTTGGCTCAGCTTCATCTGTGCATCCACCCAGATACTCCACTGGAGGAAACCTCTACCCATCACCTTATCCTACTGATGCCTGCCCAGGAAAGGGCCTGCCTTTGGAGGACAGAGACTGTCACCTGTCCCTCCCACCTCCAGAGATATCTTCAAGGCGACACATGCCAATGCTCTACTTGGGGCAAGAAAGGGCACCACTCACCTAACATTGTCTGAGTGCCCCCTCCAAACTCATGGTGAAACCTAACTGTCACTAAGCAGTACTGAGAGGTGGAGCCTGGGGTGATTAGGGTCACAAGGCTCTGCCCCATGGAGGATTAATGCTGTTATCTCAGGAGTGGGTTCCTGGTCAGTGACAGGTCTGGCCTGATTTCTCTGTCTGTCTCCTGTATTCTCAGTGGCCCTTCTGCCTGGTTAGGACACAGATGTAGGCAACATTCTCTTTGACTTCCCAGCTTCCAGAACCAGGAACCAAATGAATCTTTATTATAAATTATCCAGTCTGTGGTACGGTTATGGCAGCTGAAAACAGACCAAGCCACACTCTGTCCTCTGAACTGACTGCCCTGGGATCCCACTTCCTTCCCTAGCCTTTCCTTGTGAGGTACACCCAGGACTGTCAGTCCAGTGCAGTCTCAGTGGGTGGAGCAGAACATAATGGGAATAGCTATCAGCTCCCTTCTTGGTGTACAGCACACCACACTTTGCCAGGCTCCTGCCCTGGAGGGCTTCTTATCATTCCTTACTAGACTGCCCTTCTTTCTACCTCTCCCAATGGATTGGTGTTCAAGGGCTAGATCCCAGGTTCCACATTTCTCCTTCAATGCTCACTCTTGGGTAAACTTATCCAAGCCTTTTACCTTGAACTCCACACACACACACAACCAAATGACTCTGAAATCCCTCTGACCTCCATCTCCAGTCACCCTCCCAAAACCTCTATCTGTACCCAAAGGGGGTCTCAAACATGACTCCCAGAGAGGCTCTTCTCTCAGGCTCCTCTCAGCAGTGAATAGCTGCCCAGTCCACAAACACAGATGTCACCCATCCACCTGCCAGTGCTGTCAGCTCTCACCTTTAACACATACCCATTCATCAAAAGTGAAAATGGCTGCTCTGCCACAGCTCCAGTTAAGACACACACAAAACACAAGCCACCTCCTTGTCTTGGTCATCTTCTAGGAGAAAATGTTCACAGATTGCACATCAATGAAGGACATTTATCCAGAGGACATAAATTGTTATCCTAATGCATGCCTGTAATCTCAGCTGAGAGGCAGCGGCAAGTAGATCCCATGTTCAAGGCTGGCCCAGGCAAAGTTAACAAGACTCCATCTCAAAAACAAAGTAAAAACAAAGGGATGTGTCTCAAGTGTTAGAATGCTTGCTGAACAATTCAAGGACCTGGGTTCAAGCCCCAGTAGTATACAAAAGAAAAAAAATTAGAAAATGAGCAAAAGGATAGAACAGACATTTTATCTAAGATGTGCAAGTTGCAAATACACACAGAAAGGAGGCTCAGCATCACTAGCCATTGGGCAGTGCAAACCAACACCCCAGGATAGCTGGGTATATTTATAGTCCCAGCTACTTTGGGAGGCTGAAGCTAAAGGATCATCTGAGTCCAGGAGTTCAAGGGCAGCCTGGGCCACACAAGGAGACGCAGTCTCTTAATAAATAATTAAACAAATAAATAAAACACATATATATACAATTAAAAAAAACTCATGAGACACCGGTGAGCACCCATAAGAAAAACGGATGAGACTAACAGAACTAAGCGTTGGTGAAATGTTGGTACAGTCACTTTGAAATCAGTTGGACAGTTTCTCATCAACCTAAACACACTAAGCAACTGTACTTCTGGGCATTTATCCTGGAGAAAAATATTCACACAAAAATCTGTACACAACTTACACAGCATCTTGTACCAAACTGGACACTACAGCTGTGAACAAAATATGGCTCATTTGTCTCAACACACAACTTGCATGGATCTTAAAGGCATTTGCTGAGTGGCAAAAAGGAGTCTCCAAAAGCTTTGCCTGTATGATTCCATCTACAACGTTCTCAAAATGACCAAATCACAGATGTAAGAGCACCCAAGTAGTGGCCAGGGGCTAGGAAGGATGAGACATGTGGCTCCAAAGGGGCAGCACCAGGGAGGCCTCTGTGCAAAGGAGCTCTTTGAATCAGGACCACAGGAATGGTTCATGCATTTGTACATGAGACAACATGTCACAGGATTACAGACATACCAAAAAGAGAATGTATGCAGGGCTAGGGCTTGGCTCGGCAGTACAGCACTTGTCTAGCATTCATAATGCCCTTTGTTCCATCCCCAGTACTACAAAGAAACAAAACCAAACCAAAAACAAAACAATGAAGAACCAGACAGTGGTTCATGCTTGTAATCCCAGTCCTTGAGAGGCTATGACAGAGAGATTGTGAGTTTGAAGCAAGCCTGAGCCACAGAGTGAGATCCTGTTCAAAAAACAAGAATAGGCTGGTGAAGTGGCTCAAGTGGTACAGCGCCTGCCTAGCAAGCACAAAACCCTAAGTTCAAACCCCAGTACCACCAAAAACAACAAAAATGTATACACATATGCCTATACCCCCAAATTCAGGTCACCATACTGCCACTTCAATCTCCATCTGCATGAAGGTTCTCAGCTACACTCCTACCCCCAGCTGGTAAGGGGGTAGGAGTGACAAGGTCTGGAGACAGGCTGTTATGACCTGGGGAGGCCTGGCAGAAGTCAGCTCTAACCCAGAGAATGGTCTGCCCAGCATCCCACGGGCTGGACATTTCCCCCTGCTGCTTTCCTCATGGCACCCCTGCCCAGGCCAGGGTGAGTCTTTGAGACAGTGACATCTGCACACAGTATAGATCCTGAGACATAAACAGCCTGGAGGGAAATCAGCATAAAGCTACTAACCCAATGCCCCAGTGGTTGAGTCAGCCCTTGTTACCCCCTCTTGATCTTCATGGCCCTTTGTTCCTCACTTCCCAACTGCCAGCATGCTCCCTGGTCCTCACAGCCCTTCCTTCTTTCTTGGGTGGGTGGGCTGTCCCCCCAACAGGATGTAAGCTTTATTAGGGCAAAGCCCTGGCCTGCTGGTTCCACTGCTGGAACCAGTAGCCTAGAAGACTCCCTGATATTATATACAGATCAGGCATTCAACAGACACTTACTGAATTAATGTAAAAGCAGCCAGGTGCTGGTGGCTCATGCCTGTAATTGGGAGGCTAAGACTGAATCACAGTTTGAGGCCAGCCCAAGCAAAAAGGTAGCAAGACCCCACTCAACCAATAGCTGAGCAAAGTGGCACATACGTGTCACTGAAAGCTATATAGGATGCTGGCTGAGATCAGAAGGACTGTGGTTCCAAGTCAGCCTGAGCAAAAAACTTCATGAGACCTTCATCTTCATAGAAAAAACTGACAGTGGTGAATGCCTGTCATCCCAGCTACTTGGGAGGTAGAGGTAGGAGGATCCCAGTTTAAGGCCAACCAAGGTAAAGTTAGCTGGAGACCCTATCTGAAAAACAAACTAAAAGCAAAAGAATTAGGGGCTCAAGTGGTAGAGGGTACAGTGCTTGCCTGGTAAGCACAAGGCCCTGAGTTCAAGCCCCAGTATCGTACTGTAACAAGGAAAAAAAAGACCTCACCGCTTCTGGGAATGGTAGAGTACACCCATAAACCTCAGCTACTTGGGAGGCTGAGGCAGG